AGGTGCTGTTAAATGAAAGTAGATCCTATCAATCTAGGTTGCTCCAAGACATTTTGCAGCTTGAGACAAGATGGCACCCCAGTTTCAGATACAGAAGCCAACTGGACTGGGAATTGATTTGTGCTTCAGTGTTGGTGACAAGACTGCATCCTCCACCACATCAGAGGGAAGTAGGCTAACTTGCAGGGGTGCAGGGCAGACTGGATATGATGCTCAGTTCCTTCCTTCAATGCATCAGCTTCAACCCTAAGCCTCTACGTAGCTACAGGCAAGGTGGCCGCCTCACTTCGCCTAATGGTTCAGCTGGCTCTGAAGATTTCTCTGAAATTTAATCCTGAAATTATGCAGTTCAGAGTGTTGGTGAGATTAAAAGGTGAAGAAATAAACATGGGAAGTCAGGAAGACGATATAGATGGCAGAGAACTGTGGTAAAAGGAAATGCATGAAATTAGACTATAACATTTGTGCTGTTCCATGAACTCGCAGGTGCCTTGTTATTCATTGGTTTGGGTGGTGTCTTGGTTCTTGATTTCTGCCTACTTTTCTTTTCTGCTTTTTAAATGCATTAGCTCAGCACTCAGTACTTTAGATTTTCTCCTGCTGTTAATTTTGCTGTGGACTATGCTTTTAAATATTTAAACATTATTTTACATTTTAATTGGAAAAGACCATGGGGGCCCTACTTGGGCTGAATGACAACTCCTAAGTTGATAAAGAAAATAAGTAATTCAATTCACCATACAGAGGGGTAGGAGAGTGTGTGTGCGTGCACACGCGCGTACAGAGAATGAGAGTCCTGTATGAATGTAAGAGCCAGCAGCTTAAAATGAATGAATAGAAAATTTATTCAAGGATGTGACCACCACCACCTGTTCTGTGGAAGCCTTAGGATGAAATTTTATCTAATTGATCTCCTTTCCTCCTAACGACTTATATGTGAAAATCATGATTATCAAAACGTGTGGCACTTTGGGCTTACAACAACAGGCCTATCACAAAAATGTTGTTTCACATCTGGCTCTGAAGTTTTGGGCAGCAGCAACAGCAATTACTGCTTTGTTGATTGATGCAGCAACCTAATAAAATATCCTTTATAACTAACAGTATTTTTGTTTATTATCATTATCGGCTCCCTCCCTCCCTCCCTCCCTGTATGTGTGTAAGGAGCCAAGAGCAGCAGGCAGGAAGTAAAGACAGGGCTGGGGGTGGGGAGGAGGAGAGTGAACCAGTCAAAGACAATCAATGATAATGATTAGCTCCCAGAGCAGGCTGCAGAGATGGACTCACTCCTCTAAGAAGGGCGGCTGCTCCTGGAGAGGCCCAGCTAAGGAAAACAGGGTTGGAGAGGAAAGCAGTGTTGGAATATAGCTGAGGTCATGACACTTGACCTTTCCATTCCTTTTTCTTCTTTGAAACCTGATTATCTCTATTTTTAGGCACATGGATGGAGAAGGAGCAAGGAAGCAAGGGCCACTGACCCTGGCCCACTAGGGCTCTCTCAAGTTTTCTAACCCACTGTAACCCCATTGTTAAGGAGGCATGATGTGTAGCACTCCTGGAAACCAGTTCCAGCTGCATCAGAAACTATAGACCAGACTCCTTGGAGTCTTTCTAGCCTTCAATAATATCTTGATTAAACAAAACACACACACAGGAATGACCATGTCCAATGAAGGCTTTTCTTCACCATTTCTATAGCTTTTCCAGGCCACAGTCCTATACTCACTTACCATGCAAAACCAACCAGAAACTCACCAAGAAGTAAATGCTTTGGTTGTGTCTGAACTGGGACTTTGGACTTGTTGGGGAGTAGCAAACCAAGAGTCCCAGTTCAGATATAATATTAAGTTTTGGTTCCTGGTAATTTCAGTCACTCCAAGTGGTAAGAAGAGCTAAGTGGGAGCCATTGGGCAGAATGTACAGGCATGCTAGTGGTGAACGTAAGTCAGAATTCTCTGTGATGTTGGTTTGTTAAATGTGCATGTGGCCAGAACTATCGGATACATAAAGTGCATTTTGCAAATTCAAATTGCAGAAAGGCTTGCTGGTTATAAAGGACAGTTGTAGATCCTGGTGATGAAAACTCAGTATTCAATGCCACCTTACACTTGTTGGGTTTGGATTCCAAGAAATTTATGCTGACTGAAGAGGTTTCTTTCAATGTACTCCCCAGATCTAGCTCACTATTACATGTAAACACAGTAGGACTGCACAACATTTAACACTAGCAGCATACAATTCCCAAGCAGGTCTGGAAATCCTAAGTTTGGTGCGGCACTGTGAGCTCTCTCTAAAAGACACCCCCCTCCATTCTTACTACCTTCAGTAAGATGATGAATTGTGTGCACTAACAATTGTTCTCTCTTTGCTTCAACAGTGGGCAGTCCATGGGTAGATTCCTCTCCAAAAGATTATCTTCTCCTATTCTATTGCACACTGATAAAGAGGATTCTAAATGGACTCTGCATAAATGCACACTCTCTCTCTGGTTACAGGGGTGTGAAGCCTGCAGTGTAAATATGAAGGAGAAAGGGAGAAAAATGATCACAAGATCAGCATTCCCTAACCTGTCGCCTTCCAGATGCATTTGACTGCAGCTCCAAGGTGGCATTGTAGTCCAGTACATCTGAAGGATAGGCTAGCCAAGTTCAACTGGGAGGGGGGCCACTGGGTGAATCTTCAAGCCCTGCATTCTACTAAAGCTACCTGGCAAGACTAAAATAGCAAAAGAAACATGCAGGAATTATTCTGAAATAATAGATCCTAAAAGCAAGGGCTTTTACCTAGGTAAAATGGTCCAGATCAATAACCTTGCTTTACATACAGCTCTTTGGAATTAAGCCCACTTGCTTTTAAAGGGACTTGCATCTATGTTAGTTGGTTTAGGGTTTTAGCCACAAAATTCTGAACGGTACAGTGGCCTTCCCTACCAGGAAGCTGATGTATGCTTTGCTTTAGGGTCTTTGAAAATAAATACAGGCTGGGCTCTTTCAACAGGCCAAGGTCAGTAAATATACCCCTGTGATAGCATGGTATGACTACAGGTATACTTTAGAAGGTAAAGTATATAGGCTTATTTTTTAAGCATGTCAATATACTTTTCTATATGCTGCAGGTGACTGTGTGCAAGACAACTGTGTCTGGCCATTTAAAATTGATCTAGATACCCTAAAATTGTTCACCTCCCCTTCATTTGAACACTTTCCTCTTCTGCTTGCAACGAGAAGAGAATGACAGCACATAAGCTATGCTTGGACATGAACACACTTTATTTAAAGGAAGCTACAGTCCTGCACAACCACATCCACTGGCTGCTTAGCAACAAGCTCCTGAGAAGGCCTATCAATTCTCAGTTTATAATAACCTGAGACAGACCTAGTTTTTGTGTTCCCTTGAGAGCATCTCCCTCCTTAGCTCTTATAATAAATGCTGCATAGCTATGCATCCAACATACCTCAGGAAACATTGCCTTGAAACATTATGTATTCTATTTGGTCAGAATTACCTAGCCAGCAGACTGTCTGCAAACTATATCCTTGTCTTTAATTTAAAAAAAAAATCCTGCCATTAATCTCATGCTCCAGTGCTGAGGCTGTCATACTCTAGGCACATCATGAGAAGGCAAGACTCACTGGAGAAAACCATCAGGCTAGGGAAAATCAAAGGCAGAAGAACAAGAGAAAGACCAAATAAGAGATGGATCGATTCCATAAAGGGAGCCACAGCCTTGAGTTTATAAGAGCTGTCAAGGACAGGACATTTTGGAGGGGATTCATTCATTCATAGGCTCCCCTTAAGTCGGAAATGACTAAATGGCAGCTAACAAGTCCAGAGATAATTTTTTTTAGGAGACCAAAAAGCCTATGTAGCTATCAACCACCACACTCTTTTAGAATCAATACGAACCATTTTCCCCTTAAACAATTCACAGGGGTTGCTATATTGTATAAACTGGCAAGCAATAGAAGGAATGGTATGCCGGGTTCCTCTCTGCTGCCCTCTAGTGGCCAGAAGCAGTAAGGCTGTGAAAACAATCTCAAGTAGGAAACAGTTTCTAGCCCAGCATTCATTAAACAAAGGTTTTTCTAAAAGATGGTGCTGTTAGAACAGCAATTTACCTAAGGAAGTTAGATACTTAATTTCAATAGTAAATAATGGGGCAGGAAGTAGGGCTGTCCTTGGCTCAGATTTTCAGGATTCTTTTTGAAAGTCTCGCCTCCGGTTAGCAAAGCTGTGACAATTCAGAATACTGAAGTTCAATAGCTTAATATTTTTAAGTCAGCACAGAACTCACAAAAAATGTGCACACTCTGGCGCTGTTTTGAAAGCTTGCACATTTTTGTGATCTTTGAGTTGATCAAAGTATTATACCATATATATTTTGTTTATTAAGAACAAGTAAACATATCTGTAAACCTTTATATAGCCTGCTGGCGGCCCTTTACCTTCAAAAGTGCATAAATAAGCAAATAATGTTGTGAAGAGCAGCATAAGCCCTGGTGGGTCCCAGCATGTCAGTACTGAACAAGGTGCTGTTTGTCACTGCTCCCATCACATGTTACTGTTTGGTCATTTGGCCCCGAGATGAAGTTCCAGCTACATCATTGTGGGGTTTTTTTGGGGGGGGGGGTTACATGATCAGTAGGGAGTACTAGCTGCGAAATCGGTTGGACCCCTTAGACTTCTTTCAATTTGAGCTCCTAAACAAAAGCTTGGACATCACAGACTAAGTTTGTGCAAAGGGTTACCTACCAAACCAAATGGAGACTAACAGCCACATATTTTGCCAAGTGCTCAACAAATTTCTCTTTTGGCATAGCCCCAAGTACACAGCAAACATGGAAGATTTGTTGACCCTCAGATAGGATACCATGAAGTGGACTACTGTTGGCTTGGTGGGTCAGACTGTGGAGGCATTTATTTTATGGACCATACTGAGCAAAACTTCATTTATCCTTTACACCAATTCTTTACTTAAGGAATATAAAGTAGTCAAATAATGTTAAGACACTGCTTTATTTCTAAAAACAAAAACAAAACCCTTGACATCCAAACATGAGTAATTTAAAAAGTACTGACAAGAGTTTTCAGATGATCAACATCAGACAGCAACAAAAGTTGTACTTCAAACTTTAGGGATTATTCTGCAAGGATCTGCATACCTGCCATCTTCTGCTGAGGCAAAACATGTACCACCTTTTGCAGTAAACTAGTCTTAAAAATATGGAGTTCAGGAGTGGGGGCAAAGTTTGCAAGGAAACTGGAAAAGAAGAGCTGTCCAGTAACATTCAAACCCATACATATTTGTAAACAGAGGTGCACTAATGCATCTTCCCTTAAGAAATACACATATGCACCAATGAAATAGTGTGTTTCCATTGCTTAGCAAATCTTCTCTTATTTCCCTAATGCTCTTACAAAGAACATATGATCCTTCATTTAAAAAAAGAATGCTTTGCAAATCTTGTATAGAAACAAAGCACTACATAACTGGATACATTTTTAGATATGTTTAAAAGAACACACTAAAAATGCAAGGTCGTACTGGTAACAGAGTTTAATAGACATTTATAAAACTTTTGCAAATAGGCTGTATAATAAATACTCTTATGCATGGATATGAAACTGGAATATTGGCAACACAAGCTATGGCTTTGGAAAAACTTTGGAGAATGCTTCTCTAAAGACAATTTCTGAAATATTAAAATCCATACTATTTATGTATATTATGGGTATATTTAGTATTCACACAATTTTATATATGAAAGCCACATATTGTTTGTACTGTTTAGCTTTTGTTCAAGCATTGCATAACTCATTCCCACAACAGATCCTGAAACCAAGTCATCCTCAACTTCAATTCAGCCTTTTGTGAAGACTATGTATATTTCCTTTTAAAAACAAAGAGTCTTGAACAGCAGTTTGTCATTTTCTGATCAGCAGTTAAAAACTAAGGAGATGCCTTAGCTTACTTGCAATACTGGCATGAAAATGAACACCCCGGTACCTTTACCCTGAAGTTCTATGTAGTGCTCCATTTCCTTTTAACACAAGATGCTTGTTAGTTTATTAAGCACGCGTCCTCAGCTCTTCCAGTTCCAAGGGATACAGAGATCGCCATCTTGTAGCACAGAATAGAAATGGGAAATGCAAAGATGCATGCCCTGAAGGTATGGCAGTGACTCTTCCAGCAGTCTTTTGCACGCATGGATCATCTGCACGCTGGAAACGCTGGGCTCCTTGTAGAGCCGCTGGATATGAAATTTCTCCGTTGCAGCCTCAATCAGTTCCTTTTCTAGTGCCATTAACCTGAAATAGTACACATCCCCACCCCACCCCAAAGTTATGAATACAAAGGAAAGGACGCAACTAGTTATTGGGCTTAAAATGTTGAACTATCTTTTCTCACTTCTCTCAAATTGCAAATAATCTGTTCAATGAATGATAATCCTCAAATCCAGCTCTGCATAGGGATGGATTCAAAGGAATAGCAAAAGAAATAGCAGAAATATTCTGATCTCTATACCCTCTCTACCCTCTCTTTCAGCCAATTTAAATCCAACCGCCTGGCCAAGTCCATTTTGAGAGAAAGGCAACAAGTTTGGTTGGTGATGGACTGGTACTCATGTCAAGTGGATGTACTCTCTAAGTCATTCTTGCCCTCACCCTGGTCAGCGTGTGTATGCACCTATGTATAATGCCTTACAATCTGAGAACCTAAATCTCAGAAAATAAGAGCTGGGCAAAATACAAATGCTGTAGAAGATATGCCCACGTTTCTGGGGGAAAAAATTAACAGTAGCATATACTAGTAATCACAGAGTTGAAGTTCCCTTTGTACACACCATTGGGAGAGTTGCTTTCTCCGCAGCAATCTCCTTGGAAACTTCCCAAGAAGTCAAGGCCCAAATGGAAGACACACAATGTGTTTTAAGCAGTACTTACTCATCCTTTTTTTTCAGTTTCTCTCTTGCTTGCTGTGCTTTAGTGATGATAAACCACTGAAGGGCTGCAAGATCACAGACTGTTGGGATGATAAAATGCCCTAGTTCATGCAGACTTGGTGCATACCTGTCACTGCAATAAAAAAAAAATGAAGACAGTGCAAACCAGCTGACCTTACTTCATGCACTAGAGGTCTTTGGCTTAATGACATGTTCCAAGTCACATCAAGACAACTGAATGAGTTAAGTCCTGAGATTTCATTTCTAATATACTTTAAACACCCTTAATTGATTACAGCATGATTTCAAACAGAGCACATATAGTTTGAGCACTGCCAACTCCCGATTATTAAGGCCATTGGCCACAACACCCTCAATGGGTCCCATCCCTCCTCACCATCATTGCCACTGACTGCAGCTACAACCGCTCTTCATCCTCTTTCTCATCACTGCTACCATTGCTTCACAACAGGCAGAGAGAAAGCAAGCAGGCTGGGGCATCTATTTTTCCCCTTCTCATCACCACAGCTGCCCTGGCCAGAGCAAAAGGCTCTGCAATTGAAAAGGCATGCTGCAATGAAGAGGAGTGAATCCAAGGGGGACTTGTTGGTAGGCCCCTGCTAGGGAGTGTGCCCTTTGCAGAACCCCAACTATGCCTACCTCTGGTACTGGCTCTGAATTAAGATCTATACATTTGGGCTCTGTTTAGCAGCCAGTAATTATTTGTATTTGACAGTAACCTTTCCTCTGGCCCAAAATCTTGTGTGCATGCCACAAGACCCAAAGAGGGCTTTAGAATAGGCTGCAAATCCCTCTGCTTCTGCCTGCTCCAAAGCTCAACACTTACAGAAAGATTTTTCCACTACTTTTCCTCTCTTTAGGAAAAGAGAGTAAGAAATCTTCTGTTGCTCTTCTCTGGAACAAACAGAAGCTTGTGGCTAATCCAACGGTCAGTGTAACCAAAGAAACCTCACCAACATTTTCTGGATTCATGATGCAGTTGAGGGAAGAAACTAGATGCTGCTAGCTGTACCCAGCCTTGGCAGGAAAATCTGTGGAGGCCCAATTAGAGAAGAAAGAGGATCACAATACTACTGATCTCTCTCTTTCTCTCTCTCTCTCTCCCCCCGCCACCCCAAACAAGGGCTGTTTTTGTTCAGAGGGCTACCACTGGAAGAGGATAGGTGCACCAATGCTCCTGCATGTAAGAAGAACACACAGCAACATTCTGTATGGTCTTGGTCAAAATAAATACTTTACAAATTCAACCAACTGTAGTACTAATCATAAGAAAAGATTGCCCCAAGAACCAAGGTTTTTGAAGAGACACACCTTTCTAGAATCATTTGCAATCCACGCAGGCTACGAGGGTGAAATGCAAGCCTGCTGTTACAGACTCGGTTATAAAAGTTATCAAGGGCAGAGTAATACTCTTCAAGCGTTAGCATTGGTTGCAGCTCTTCAACATAAGTTATTTGTATGCCTCCCAAAAGATGGCTTATATGTTCCTCCAACAGCAGCACTTTTCTTTGAAGTGTTGAGTAACTTGGCAACCTTTCAAAAATCTGCACAAAATGAAAGATTTTCTTAAAAGTCTATGGTTTGACCAAACACCCCCCTTCAATTTTCCAAAGTAATTAATGTTTTAGAAATAGAGAAGTGGATACAGATTTATTCTGGACCAACTTCTCTGGTGGAAGTGGACTTCTTTGCCCCTTCTTCCATGCCAAGCCTTCCAGCCCCAAGCAAATGTTACACAGATTGTTAAGCATTCCTGCTGAATAGATGTGATGCGGTATCTGTGCTGAGGGGTTCTCCAAATAGCAGAGCCTTCGTGGCAAGCAGATCTTGGATGCAACCCTATAACCTGTTTTGTATGCCATGGTGGCAAATCACAAGTTAACTGACCCACAGTTTGCAGGGGCTGGTTCAGACATCAAGCTAAATGCAGCATTCTTAGGTTTATTCAAACCATAAATGCCTTGCATGCTCTGCAAATCCCTACAAATCTTGGGTTAATTAGCCCATGACATGAGAACTGGCGCAATTATATCAGTGTTAATATCTCAGCAGAAAATACAAAGGCCCCCAAAGAGTGAACAAGTTCAAGTTAAATTCATATGCCAATCATTAAACTTTTCTTCTGTGGTAGGCATTACTATAAAGAGTAATGTACATGCTATTTTATCTTTGATACAGTAGTAATGTACTGAACTGTACTAATAACTGGAAAAACAAGACATCATAGTTACAGTTAGCTAAAGGGCTGATGCAGATGCATGTACCTTCTTAACCGCAAACAGGTAAATAAATAGCAGCTAGTTATGGGAGCCAATGTTAAGGTTCTGAGGACCAGAAGGTTAAAGGACCAGAGGTTAAAGGCCAGAGTTAAAGGATATATCAGAACCAAGCTTAGCCACAGTCCCTGTTTAGAAGAGTTTGAAGCTCACTAGGAATTTTTACACAACATTACCCTGTAAATAGTTAATAGCAACTCTGGTTAAAGTTTCCAGAGGAGTGATTGTATTAGTCTCTTGCAGCAAAAACAAAGAGTTACAGCACCTTAAAGCCCAACAAAGTTAAGTTTAATTTGAACTAAATTCAATGGGTCTAACATTGCACTAACAAATAGCACTAACATTGGATACAACCTATAGTTTTAATTTAATTTTAGGTTAATAAACAATTTTAGACAATAAGGCACAGAACATTCATTACAGTACACAGAATTTTATTTTAGAAATCACTGTCAGATTTGGCAGCAATTTCCAACCACCAGAAATTAAGTTACTGCAGCAGACAATTGGTGCCAACATTTGTAAATGTATGTGGAATTTGTCTTTTTGTGTGTTCCACAAAAACAAATATTAACTTGGTATGGCAACAAAAATCTTATTTAATTACCAGTTCTTACTTTGGTCCAGTGGTGGTGAACATCCATAGTTCCTAGCATAACCTGGCCTGCTGCACTCATGCCTGAATGGTCTGTAAATATCACTGTGCGTCCTATTAGAAAAGGAAGTGTGGGGGTTAGTCACTGTTCACAGCTTTGGGTTTGTTTTACTAGGGCAGCCTTGCCCCACCTAGTATCCTCCCAATATTTTGGACTATAGCTCCCAGGATTCTTGGCAACTGGTCATACTGGCTGAGACTGACAGGTTCTGAAGTCCAAAACATCTGGAAAGTGACAGATTGGGCAAGGCTGCTCTAGGAATTTCCAGATGTTCATTGTCTTATCACCTGCTGGAGATGTAGAGTGTTCTGATTCCCTCCTCTTTTTTGTATCAACATACATGAGTGAAGCCAATTAGTTAATACCAATGCCATGCCAAGTGAGTGCTCTCAGTCATCACAGAGACCAGGAAAGGATGTAGGAGAATATGTTAATTGTAGGTCTGTATCCCCTTCATGGATCACTGCCTTGCCATGGCAAAGGGGCTTGTGTAGCGCAATGAAGCTATGAGCTATGCCGTGCAAGGGCACCCAAGACGGACAGGTCATAGCAGAGAGCTCAGACAAAAGGTGATCCACTGGAGAAGCAAATGGCTACCCACTCTAGTACTCTTGCCATGAAAATCCCATGGACAATTCTAAAGGGCAAAATGATATGATGCCGGAAGATGAGCCCCTCAGGTTGGAAGGTGTTCAGTGTGCTACTGGGGAAGAGCAGAGGGCTAGTACTAGTAGCGCCAGAAAGAATGAAGCGACTGAGTCAAAGCCAAAAGGACAATCAGTTGTGGATATATCTGGAGGTGAAAAGAAAGTCCGATGCTGTAAAGAACTATACGCCATAGGAACCTGGAATGTAAGATCTATGAATTAAGGTAAGCTGGACGTGGTCAAACATTCCAGCTGAGCTATTCAAAATCCTAAAAGACAATGCAGTAAAAGTGCTACACTCAATAAGCCAGCAAACAAAATCCAAAATCTGGATTTTATTTGTACTATTCGTATTATGTTTATTTATTTTATGTAAGCTGTCCTGAGGCTATACGATGGGACATACAAAAATTCTAAATAAATAAATAAATAAATAAATTTGGAAAACTCAACAGTGACCACAGGATTGGAAAAGGTCAGTTTACATTCCAATCCCAAAGAAGGGCAATGCCAAAGAATGTTCAAACTGCTGCACCATAGCACTGATTTCACATGCTAGCAAAGTTATGCTCAAAATCGTACAAGCTAGGCTCCAGCAGTATGTGGACCAAGAACTACCAGAAGTACAAGCAGGATTCCAAAGAGGCAGAGGAACTAGAGATCAAATTGCCAACATACGCTGGATCATGGAGAAAGCTAGGGATTTCCAGAAAAACATCTACTTCTGCTTCATCGACTATGCCAAAGCCTTTGATTGTGTGGATCACAACAAATTGTGGCAAGTTCTTAAAGAGATAGGAGTACCAGACCATCTTATTTGTCTCTTGAGAAACCTACATGCAGGTCAAGAAGCAACAGTGAGAACTGGACACGGAACCACTGATTGGTTCAAAATTGAGAAAGGAGTTCAGCGAGGCTGATGGGGAAGAAATGGAGGTAGTGACAGATTTTATTTTCTTGGGCTCCAAGATCACCGCAGATGGTGACTGCAGCCAAGAAATTAAAAGATGCTTGCTCCTTGGGAGAAAAGCTATGGCAAATCTAGACTGCATACTAAAAAGCAGAGACATCACCCTGCCAACAAAAGTGCGTACAGTCAAGGCTATGGTTTTCCCAGTTGTAATTTATGGCTGAGAAAGCTGGACCATAAGGAAGGTTGCGTGCCGAACAACTGAGGCCTTTGAATTGTGGTGCAGGCGAAGACTCCTGCGAGTCCCTTGGACTGCAAGAAGATCAAACCAGTCAGTCTTAGAGGAGAGCAACCCTGACTGCTCTTTAGAAGATACTGAAGATGAAACTCAAATACTTTGGCCACCTAATGAGAAGGAAGGACTCCCTGGAGAAGAGCCTAATGCTGGGAACAATTGATGGAAAAAGAAGAAAGGGACAGCAGAGAATGAGGTGGCTAGATGGAGTCACTGAAGCAGTTGGTGTGAGCTTAAGTGGACTCTGGGGGATGGTAGAGGACAGGAAGGTCTGGAGGAATGTTGTCCATGGGGTCATGATGGGTCGGATGCGACTTCACAATTAGTAACAGCAACAGGCATGTAGGCTTTGTGTTGCTGAGGGCTTTACAGTTCAAACACAACAGTATGTTGGGCTTTGCCCAGAAGGAAAGCAGAAATGTTACCAGAAAACCAGGTCTGTGCCAGTATGTTTTACTCCAGTTTAAACTTCTGAATTACCACCCAGAATTTTCTAGGCAGATCAGCAACAGCTCATTGTCAACCCATTAAATGAATGAGAACAGCAACAGGCAAATGTACCTTTTGCATTTCTTGGTGTCTCTGGGCTCTGTTGAACTAACCGACTTAGACTGTGTAGCTGGCTACACCGATGTGCAATACCCCAGCTCCTCTGCCATCTAAAAACAGTACAGCATCTTTTAAATTATAACAGCATCTTAAGCGCACAGAATGGACAGAACTAGTTGAGGAAGGGCACTTTTAAACAGTTTAAAATGATCTCAGGCACATCAAACCAGTATTCTACTCATATCTACAACTGAAATGGAAACTGATAGCATTTTGCATGAGAGGCAACTGCAGTAAGAGACCACAGAAAGGTAAGAAAAATACAACACCGAATATAAAAATGCTGTACATTTGAAAGGTTCCCTGTATTTACTACACACAGTAGCACCTGAAGTATCAGAAAAAAGCTGCATTCCTAGGCATGCTTACTTGGAAGCAAGCTCCACTGAATGTGATGGCACATACTTCAGAAACACAAAGGTGTGGATTGGATGAAAAGCAATTATTGAAATATTGGCATCCCTCCTTAATTCATGCTAAGTACCAAATCATCTAAATATGACAAACAGGAGGGAAAAGGAATGGTGAGTTCTAGATCTTCTCCAAAACTGACTTTTCACCTACATACCATGTCTAGCATTAGTCTTATTGTCGTGTACAGAACAAAGATTTAGACTTGCTTTTCCAAGTCTGGTCCTGTCAATGTGTTCCTAAGGCAAGGTGTCCTCCACAAATGAAGGTACACATTTTTAGTTATGTTTAAAATACATTTGTTATAGTCCTTCTAATCTAAGCATTATTGCTCCATTCATTCACCTTAAATGTTATAAAAACTGCTTTTTCACCCAGTTAATTTGTTACCTAATATCAGAGAGCTGTAGCTGATGAGAAAGTTCATCTTTCAAACGGTCTAGTTCTTTCCTGAGTGGTAAACTATCTTTCAGCTTCTTTGCTGCACTTTCCTCATTATTTTCTAACCAGGAACTAGAAAAAAACAACAATATGGATCACCAACATATTTTAAATTCAGAAACAAGCCAGGGAATTGATAGAATATCCAGTTTATCCTTCATGAGAAATACCTTAAAGCCTAATTTGGATCCCCCCAGTTGCCTTGCTTTTAGTTAAAAAAATGTTCTCCCAAAGATAGAAGGAGATGTTCATGTACACTGAGCATTCCAACTTACTTATTTTTGCATTTGGGATATTTTAGAGTGAAACTGATTACTTTCAGAAACCACAGTTTAAGTCAAAAGCTCTCCCCACTCAAATGATACTGACTAGAGCAATATAGCTGAGAGGACTTTAAGTTGACACTTCCTTGTTGGTTTAAGAACTAATAATTAAGTTGGAATATAATTTTAAGGCTGTTTCACTGCCAGTTAATCTGGTGAGTATAAGGGAGAGCCCCACATCTCTGGAATCAGTTTCCAACAGGGGTTCATCAAGTCCCTTCTATGCAGGAAGCTCTAAAAACGTACTTGTTTTCAACAGTTTTTTCACAATTTGGGGGCTGCAGCTTTTATTCGTATAATTAAAAATCATTTACTATTATGTGTTGCTTTTAATTGTATTGAATTATGTAATTTAATTGTTTTTATCTTGTATACTATCTTGAGAGCATTCTATTTTTAATGATGGTCCAAAAATAATTTTTAATAAATAGTATAATAAATATAACATATTTGTTCCATGGTAATGAACATGTTTTGAATGCAGATAATCCCAACCACAATCTCTGGTATCTCCATATAAAAAGGGTTCTTAGATAGCTGGGTTGGGAAAAATCTCTATCTGGAACTTCACATGTATCAAAGGGTTCATGCACCATATGTTTGCATATACCTCATATGAAGGTATGTCAATACCTGAGAGTAATTTCCATTCTCTGGGCCTGCTCTAGTTCTTCCTCAGGATCCTTGAATCCAGTAAAAGAGTAATATGTCTTGTCCCATTTGATAGGTCGGCTGAATGTTCTTCGTGCTCTCTGGTTAGACTGAGCATCTGCATTGCCATTCAAGCTCTGGACATGCTCAGTAGATAAACTACAGGAGTTCAGGATGTCTAAAACTGTGCTTAATAAGTCTCTGGTGTGCAAAGTGAAACTGACAGCTCGAAATCCTGGAAAATACAACCCAAGGACAAGATGGCATTTATCAGAGATCAATCATGTTGTTTTGTCTTACAAAGATGATGCAACTACAGAGACTTCAATCTTAGCCAACCTCAGTCAATCAATAGAACTTAGCCCAGTACTGTTTACTGGTGATTTGATTTCTACAGACAGTGCTTCTGGTTTCAGCAGATTAAGTTCCTCTATATCAAGACTGAGAAAAGAGGCTGCACTTCTAGCACTATTTTAGATATACAGTGGTACCTCAGCTCACAAATGCCTTGGTTCACGGCCAAATTGGGTTGCGAGCAAAATTTTCATGAAAATTTTGACGTGGGTCACAAACTCTGCACTGGGTGGCGACCAAGATTGCAGCCATCTCCCCACCCACCGAGTTGTGTTTGTGCAGGGAAGATGTGCAAGATCACGGGTGCGCTCCTGCAGGAAAGATGGGTGCAATCTTGGCCATCTCCCCCTACCCCCTGGCCACAACCAGCATGATTGCAGCCATCTCCCCACCTCTCTGAGTGGGGAAATGGCCGTGATCGTGCTGGGGGTGGGAAGGAAGATGGCCGAGATCACGTCTGTCTCTCTCCCCCCCAGTGCACCCACAATCGTGCCTGTCTCTCCCCTCCCGCCAGCGCGCCGGGATGATGGGCGTGTGCAGGGATGACAGGCTGCAATCTTTGTTGTTGTCATTTTGCTTCACATTTTTCTGATTAAAAGAAAAAATGGTTACAGAACAGATTTATTTACATTGAACCTTATGGGGAAATTTAACTTGGCTCACAACCAATTTGGGTTATGACCAGAGTCCTGGAATGGATTAAGTTCATGAACCAAGGTACCACTGTACTGCCCTACAAATGAGCATTAAAAAAACCCTGCACTGTAAGTCAACATTTGTTAACTGCTGCAACAAATATGCAAAATGGATATAAAAAGGCAAAGCCCATGATTGCCCATGATAACATGTCAATTCTTACTCCATTTTTGCTACATAAAAGAACATTGTAAAAGTGATTTTTCCATCTAACTCCTTTGTCATCACCTAATTATGTAAACATTTTCTTCAATGGCACTTCAATGGCAATAAAGGGAAAATATTTAATACTTTCACACAAATCCCTTCCCCTGATTCACAATCCTTTGTTTTTCTAGTTTCAAACAAATCTACTGGTGCACTTTAAGCATACCACTAAGCAGTTTTGTGGTAAAATGAAAAATGTTACATATATACAAACAAATTAATCAAATAACTAAAGTTTTAATAGTAACTTTAAGAAGTTTCTTTAATACAGCCCAGTGCTTCATGCCTAGAAACATTCAACAGCTCTACAAATGCAATAGGAGTTCCAGGGCTGTAAAGCTATTGAAAAGGTTTTCAATTTTAACTGAAATTAAAGGTTAATTTATGATCCCTCTGGGGCATGTGCTAGAGGAAACAAGACTGGCAAGATTTCCTTCTCCTGAGGGAACTCCCACCAGAGATGAGACCCAACTTTGGAAACCCTTTCCCAGTCCCTCCAGAGATTTTCATAACCACTTACCTCCCTGACACTGAGAAAGGTAATGAGGGATAGATTGGTGAGAACCTCCTGGTACTCAAATATGACCTCAAAACAGGGCAATTTATGCCAGCCCTGGAACTGGCATAAATAATTTTCTCTGAACTACATGCAAAAGGAGGGAATATGATTTTAAGAAGTAAAACAGAAAGGAAAAGTGCGCCACTTTTTTGGTCCTCCTGGCATGAGCCTGGCTGAGAATGTTGTGAAGAGTAATCTGCATTGGGCAGCAGAATTGCTCTGCAGAGATAAAAAGTAAAAGTGTCAAAAATACCTGAAGCTCCAAATGATTGAACATCAGAAGGGTTTTGTTCTTTCTCTCGTACATAAAAAGTAAGCCGAGTTGGTTTAAAAGACCTGAAACCTGGTTTCTGGAGGTTCTCCAAATACCCATTTAATCTCTTCAAAGAATTTTCATTGATTTCCTAAAAATAATCACCAGCACAGGAATTACTCAATTCTGAATAATGCATACATTAAAGCAAGTGCACATGTGATTAACAGTCATGACAACAGTGCTCTGTTATTTATTGTCATACCTGCATACTTTTAAAGTTTCACTTTCAATTGCACAGACAGCGTAGTGGTCAGATAGTTGAACCAGCTCTGTGGAAACCCAAGCTGCAAAATCCTTACACAGTCATTAAGCTCATGGAGTGATCTGGGCTAGTCAGTGGCCAGGTTTGCACAATAAGTGCAGCCCAATTACAACCACTTGATGTAGGGTTCCTTGGAGGTTGTTTAAATTCAAACCCAAGTTTGCTTCCTGAGTTTGGACAACATGACAAACCATGGCACCACACTACTAAGGGTTGAATATTCATAACTTCAGCAAGCACACATCCCAGCCTGCTGTGGTTTAAAAAAGGCATTGGGGGGCTCTGGTGATTATGCAAGTCAGCACACTCTTTCATGGCCTGATTTCCCTTATAGGATTGTTGTCAGGCTAAAAATGGGAATGGGAGGTCCACCATGAGAATGTTGGGGGAAAGGTAGGATAGAAATGTAATAAAAATTTCATTGTTCTATTTTATGACCACTGCTGAATGCCCTGCAGATCTTATAATGTCTTAGGATGTATAGTCAATGGGACTGCAACTGATTTAAACCACAGCAGGTTGTGGCATGTGCTGGTGGCCATTTTGCATATTCAACTCCTAACAAGGGTTGGCATGTTCTGTTGTGTCAACTGAATGCAGGTGGCAGGGGTATGCTGACAGTTTAACAACTGTCAACCAAGTTGAATGTGGCAAACTGGGATCGTAGGCTCATTGGGGAATGCTGGGACTTGTAGGACTGTTTTTTCTGCCTAAACATAAATAGGATTACACCTCCATTCTATGAGTTTTAGTCACTTAAACACAAAGCAAACATTTCTTTCAAGCTATTTTTCCTCATATGCCATCTTTTGTTGACATGCATGCGTTGCAATGCTTAATAGAACTGTATTTTCTCTTTCACAAAGGGAATCCCTATTTTAAGAGGGCCACAGCTCAGAACAGGTGTTTTGCATGAAGAATTATGAGGCTCAATCCCTGGCAATTCCAGACATGACTGAAAAAACTCTCAAATCTTGGACAGCTGCTTCCATTACTGTTGATGATACTGATCTGGATGGCACAGTGGGTGGACTCTGAAAGCAGTCCTCAAGATAGAGCTTGCCATCTACAGTATTTAAAATAGTATAAGCCATTTTAAAGCCTGCCAAACAATTAATGAGATTCCCTTCTAGTCAAATAAATGTTTTAGGGTGCAATCCTATGCAAGTTTAAATGGAAAAGACCTATAATTCCCAGCATGCTATGAGTTGTAAGCCTTTTTCCCTGTCCAAATGTACCCTTAATCTATGAATTGACTGATCTTTACAAACTGGATTTAAAGGCATAAACTGTGTTTATTCAAGGCACTGGCCAGGGCCCCTGGACTTCATCAATATGTTCTGTGATCTGAGAAGGCATCCTAGAACACACTGTGCATTACAGGGGAGGATAGCTAATCTTCAGCTAGCTACAGCCATTGGGAGTCATCGTAGACTCCCAAGAAATCGCAGTGTTCTGTGGAAGATGGTATGAAAACTGCTGGGAGTTTTTCCAGGCAGAGATGTAGCACCCCAGCTATCATGAGCGAGGCTGTCAAGGACAGGACATATTGGAAGGAAGTCATGCATAGGTCACCATAAATCACATGGCACATAACAACAACAAAAATATAACTCTGCTTGTTAGAGAGTGCCTCTTATGAATTCCTTAGAACAATGTAGCGACTGAAAAGTACAGTTACAAACTTCAGGCTCACAATAAATATTGGAAAACTGTGTGCTAAATGAGCAAGTGATTATAATGGTACAAGTGTCTAACAGTGCAAACCTAAGCACTGACTTCAGATCCTTATTTTCCAAGAGAGTATCTATGATTGTGCTGCAAATTACTGAAGAAAAAAAAGTATTTTTACCCTTTCTCTAGGATGCTGGCCAAAGAAATCCGGATGTACTGCAAAGTAAAATGGTCGCAAAGCATTAACAGCATCAGCACCTGATATAGTTCTTGCCTGGATAATAAGCTGCAATGGGAATTTCTTGAAACACAACCTAAAAAAAGTAAGAGTCTTATTAAGCAACCCAGTAGACCACAGAATGCTGTGCAAATAAATCACATATTACAATAAGGATGGGAAGTAATTGGAACTGCAATGATGTTAAGTTTGGATTGTGTACTGGCAGATAGCATTGAGGGCACTATTTATAACAGCACTAGTCAACGAATTATATAAGTACAAATGTCATTCTGGCTACTGCTGAAGATCCTCTGTTCCTTCAGTCTCCAGACTGTTGAGGGAGGGAGGGAGGGAAGTCTAAGTGAAGACATCACTCCATTTGGTCACACTGAAGTTCATCCCAATTATATACTTTGGTTGCCACCAAGGATTGTTCTCCTTCCATATGAGTCATTTTCAAGTGTATGAAGGGGTAACTCACATATGTGCATCCATATATGTATAGTCAACTCTTCTAGTCTGTTGAAGAATGTTTTATCTATGGCTAAAATTGGAAAATGAGATTTTAGGGGGGAAAATTAAATATGGTAGGAGACATTAAGCAGCCAAAAGAGGCCTGAGCATTGTCTGTCACCACAGAATGCTGAATATTTTGTGACAAAAGAAGGTAGAAAAAGATAAAAGAAGACGAGTGGGTGGAATGGAATTCATTGGAATAAACTGAAAAGGAGCATGGCTAGCCAGCCATGCTAAACTCCACACTCCAAGTTGTTATGGTGAGCGCAACTCACATACTATAATCTGCAAAGAATCTGTGAAATCATAACAGCATCATAAAAACTGATGCTCTCAAGAGAGATTTGACAGCCCCCCTTTTCTTCCAGTCTTCAGATATGGACAGAAAACTTGTTTTATTCTGTAAAGCCTTTGGCAATTGAGTTTAAGTTGCTGTTTAATGTTTTATTTGGTGCATCTGACCGGTATTTTTTCTAGTTCATAGTCTTGTTGTTTTATCATTTACCTCACAAGTAAATGTTTAATCATTTACTTCACAAGTACCTCATGTAAATGCCCTCACAAGGATTTTATCCTCGGAAATGTAATATAAGTGATTGAAAGAATGAGAAAACTTGTTCCAAATAAGATCGGCCATATGGAAAGCATTCAAAAGTGAATTAAACTCATCCTTCTAAGATGTGAAATTTATTTTCAGAGACCAAGAAAAACAGGATGGAAGCACAAACACACACAAGATTAGTATGCATATCTGATCATATTTGGGTCCTTGGGTAAGAGAGTATTTTTGATACAATCAACTGCCTCCTCTCCAACAGTGTTTGAAAGCTCAAGTCCAACCTTCAAGTGGCATAATGTATGTAAAACTTCTTTCTTCTGTTTTTTGTTGTCTTTGAATTAAAGAGAAAAGCATGGATTTAAAAGACCAATCTGTAGAGAAGGGGTAGGTGGATTTTAGGTTTGTAAGATCTACTTGGTTCTTCTGACTTGAACCCCAAGGTCTACCAACTGGAGCCAGCAGAAAGATGGTGGCATCAATTAAGGAATAGCTCACAGTTCTGTTACACAAAACTCTGCCCTTAGTTCTCTCAAGTTTTCTTCTGCTCTATCTTCCATTCACTCCCGCTGGAGAAACAAGTAACATGAATGTGTAATGCTAGAGTAAAATGCATCTAGGGGAGAATGAGAGAGAGCAGGAATGAGGCTACCAATATTATTACTGTTGCCTTATGGAACTACTCAAAGGCAAGTAGGCTGTAGGTAAGTAATGCATCATTCACATGGCAGTATGACAAATACACTCCTGTAATAAGATGGTAGTATCTATGCCCACCAAAAACAACAACACAGTTAATACAATTTCATTTTCATGAGAAAAGTGCATAAATGCCATCATTTTTTTATTAAAAAGTAGTGAAACAAAACAATTTTGTATTTTTGAAGACTTGTATAAACATGTGCAATAGAAAAAAAGAAGAAAACAAATGCTCTGTGAAAATATTTCAGAATAATTCACACAGTCAATTGTTAGGACAAAAAGCAACCACAAAACAAAAACTCAAGCAACTGAAATAATCTTAACTCAAAAGTAATGTAACAACTGAAACAGTACGTAAAAATGTAGAACTCCAGTCATCTTACCTCCTCACTGTCCTCCAATGGAAAAACATTTCAGTGTTTAATTCTGATTCCGAATTGCCTCTAGAATTCTTTAAGCAAAGAAAATATATTAAACTTTAATAATTTAAGCATATCAGTTTGTATAGTTTTCCTTTCTAATAATGCTTATACTTTAGGCAACAAAACTCATGAAATTAACAAGTGATTTTATGTCAAAACACATACCACTGAGGTAGCACAGGTACAAAGCCCATATATGTGATGCACACAGACCATGAAGAACTAGAATTTTTGAACAGTAGTGGGTACAGTCTCTCTCCTGAATGTCATTTTGGTACCAGCAACTTGATATCTGTACTAACTAATGAAAAGAATGTATATAACAAAGTGTAACTGTGATTATTCAGAGCCAAGGGTGCAAAACTCTGCATGTTTACACAGAAAAAGGATCCCCAGCATCCACCAGCAAGTTATGGATTTTTTTTCTATTAAAAAAGGCACAGAGCAGATTTCAAGCTTGGGATGAGTGATCCTATGCCCCCACCCCCCAAACATCAGCTGAGACCACAAGATAAACTGGGCTCTCAGATTGGAGGTCAGAGACAGGGCTCTGATCTCAGAGCTGAGAATCTGCATTCCAATCCCCTTGAAGCTGTCATGGACAAAACTGTGCTGCCTGCCTCTCCGACACTGGGAAATCAACCTTGGAGAGGAGGAAAAGGGGGCATTCTGGGGGATAGGGAAGGAGCAATTTGGGTCTGCCAGGATACAAGCTATCCTGACAGTTCTCCAGCCTCCTTACAAAGTGCCCTGGCTAGATAAACCAAACCAGTCATCTTGCTAACATGTAGAGCAGGAAGCCCAAGGAGGCTGAGATTGTCACTGCTGCTCCTCCCACTCTGCAGCTGAGGTGTGTTACCCTCTGAGTTCAAGGGCCTACTAACTCAGTTCTGCTCTGAAGGAAACATTAGGAGAACATTAAAGATGTTTTTGAATGTTAGAGGCACTGCCGACAGAAACGGGTAGCCTTGCTAAGCTTTTCCATTTTTTAAAGAGGCTACATATGCAGCCATGTGGACAACTCAAAAAACATCTTCTGCAGATAGGAAACATTAGGAAAAGAAGACTGGCTTATTACGGGCACTATCTGATATGTGCCTGCAATGTTCCTAATAAAATAACATACATGCTAAAATGTGCTGGTTGAGTTGGTTGCCAGCTGGTACTAGTAGCAATACTAGGTTGGTTACTGTACACTATAGCTTGAATCACTTCAGGAATGTGCAAAATCAGTTTGCCCAGAGACCATGCAGGAGCAGAAAAAAGTTGAACTATGTACTATGAGCATAGCAAATTACCAGTTCTAAATTTCTGAATAGTAATACTTAAACTGTTTCATACACAGAAAAGGAAGAAGTATGCACATAAAAAACCGTTAAGATATTTCAGTAACTTTTGAACTACAACTCTAAGTTAATCTGGATTTTGAATAGAAATCTATTTTCTCTGGGAGGATTCTTCAAATGGAAATGCTTGCTTTTCATAATTTGAGAAAGTGTTTGTCTTCCAGTTTTCATCTGAGTATTGAAAGTGAACCTATCATAATAATAATGATGATGATGATGCCCAATCTAAAAAGGAAAATTGAAAAAATCCCGCAAATACTCAGAAGTATGAGTACAAACATGTGTTTAATCAGCTTCAAATCCTGATTTCATATTCTATTTTAAGTTAAAGTATTAATCATGATAATATTGGCTCCAACATACCCCTTATTCATGCTTAAGGGTGGAGGGGGAAGAGATGATTGGAAGAGAAGGCATAATTCTACAGCTTGCTTTGATTCATATAATGAATGCCATGGGCATGTCTATTTCCTTAGAATTTTTAATATGCAAGCAAGATTGTGCTATTCAATATCACTGAAAGTTCATATTATTACTCAGGATGAAATGAAAGACTGCCTTCTATTCAACCACTCAGTGGGAATCTTACTGCATACACCTCTTATTTCTAGTCAGACCACTCTGTCCAATTATGAAATCACACAAACAATAAATTGACTTGAATGTGCATTGTTAACAGTGCCACCAAGAGTTATGAAAGGTTTTCATCATTAGCAATTAGTAGTGCATTAAACTATGAAAACTATATGACAGAACAAGACTTAAATGTCTTTAAATAGTTTTTCATAAACTTATCCAATTTTTTTCGGCCCACTCTCAGTTTTTCAGAAAGTGGCAGCCATCATTCGGCGAAGCTACTTCACACATGTAGAGAAAATCGTTTTTATTTGACATGTAGAGAAAAACTACCCTTTAAAATCATGATGCTCATGCACTTCTTATGAACAAATTATTTCTTCTTAAGAATTTTAAGTGTTTCATTGACTACTACACAAACCCAATCTCCTCAAGCTTTTAAGATCCAACTGTGGTTAAATATAAAAAAGTGTATAGGGAAAAACAATCCATGGCTACAAAACAGAAAGTTAAATGGAAAACTAAACCTTCCTGTAATCATACTTCAAATAAATAGCTGTTGCAGCCTGTAATGTTCAGGATAGGGAGAAATGACCAATAATCTACAGGTTTCAGACTAGATTTTCTTGCAGCAAAGGGAAGCAATGTCAGGTAGAGTCTATGATTTGGCAGTGTGCCATCACACACACTGATTGGTTGAGCGAAAAGTTACTTTTTAACAGTGCAGCTGTAGCAGGCAACATGCTGAAAGACCTGCTGCCTATAAGATCTGTAACTTTAACATGCCAATCATCATTATACAATTGTTTTGAAGAGATAAGAGGTTGCCTGGGGCCCCTAGCATATTAAGACAGCTATTTGTTGTCTTCTCAAATACAGGTCAAATGTAACTCATTGTTTTATTTGTAATTATGGCTACATTATCAGCAGTGATCCAATGAATAGCTCCATTCTAATCATGTTTATAAGCCTATTTCATTCCAACAGGTCTTAAATCTGAAAAGAAACAAGGATTTATCTATCACTGCTAGTAATCCAGCTACAAAACAACTCAGTTAAGTAGAATGCTACTGAAAGACACTATTGTATCTTTTTAAGGTACCATCCTACCACATTTAGAAAAATATCCTACAATTCCAAGCATTCCCCAGCCTGCCAAGATGGGAGGGGGGAGGGTTTCTCTCTAAATGTGCATAGGATGCTAGTGAGTGTGTGCTGCGAAATATGAGGGGTGCAATCCTATGCACGCTTAGACAGAAAAATATTCCTAGAACTCCCAGCATTTCTCTGCCTGCCATGCTAGGCTGGCGAATGCTGAGAGTTGCAGGACGTTTTTCTGCCTAAGCATGCAGAGGACTGACCCCTAAATTACATCGAAATTTATGTAATCTGTAATTTGCAACGTGCAAACCCCCATTAGTCATTTAAGCGAAGTTTCTTTTAGAGAAGTCCACTGCAGATGCCAAGGAGTTCCGCTGGCTCAACTTTTACAGCCCAGAAAAACCCTTTTGCTGGTGAATTTCCAGTATCTTCTTCTCCGGAGAACGTAAGCCTGCTAGAGCCGCAGGCAAACGCTCGCCAGGAACAGCCATCATTCCTGCCTCCCGATGGAAAACCCCCGCTCTGGCTCCCGCTCCCTCAAAGCCAGCCCGATGGCCCCTGACGCCTCAGGGCGCACGCATCCTAACGGGGCACTCCCCGCAGAGATGAGCGCTCGGAACTTCGTCCCCCTCGCCCGCCGGACAACAGGCGCTCCTGCCTCCGCGGCCTCGACGGCTCACCTTCGTCGTCCGGCAGCGGCACCTGCTCCTTGAGGGGACCCGGCCCCCATCGCCTCGCACGCTAAGGCGCTGCTGGGCAGGCTCCCTCAGCCGACGGCTGGCCTCCCGGCGGGCCCTGGAGGCACCTGAGGAGGTCCACAGTGGGCGGAGCCGCGCCGCCACTTCTCCACCTCTCCCCGGACGTCACCACCCCGCCCTCTCTCCCTTGCCGAGGCAGAGCGAGACGTGCGCGTAGGCCATGCGCGCGCACCCCGCCTTTCCACCTCGTCGGCTTCAGCGCGGAGCGCGAGCCTGCCCACGCCGTCTGCGCATGGGCGGGAAGGGCTCGCGTTTGTCCCTTCCCTGCATCCGTTCGCGTTGCGAGGACACAAATCGAGACCACTCCCCCGCACATGCGTGCGCGCGCCCCCCCTCCGGCGACTTCAATGTCATCACTTGTTAGGTAAACAGGCTGGAGGACGACGGGTGTGATCTTGGCAGCCAATCTGCCCAAGGCTTCGACTGTTATTTATAAGCCACTGCTCAGCCCTCCATCAAGACCTTCCCATCACGCTTGAGGGCTCGGTCTCCGGCTGGCGTCTCAGGGCTTGTGTGGGGTCAGTAACGACTCGCAGAGGACCCACCGCATCCAACCATCCACGCAGGGATTTTCCTACATGCCTCTTCTTACCAATTATAGCTTTTCACGTTTTCAAGTAGCGACACACCCGCTTTCAGTTGAGAGATGCGCCAGGTATCCCCAATCCAACAACGCGCTACTAATGACTTTAGATCAAGCGAAGGGGCTCTGATCCATGCTGGGACCCTATTGGGGAAGGCGAGGCGGCTTTAACGCTGTTGTCCCAATAACCCCCCACCCACCCGGCCGTCTTTTACACCGCCAAAGAATACTCCATTAGGATAAATGTTTAATTTACCAATGCAGTTTAAGTGCCCTCCTGCAAACTGTTTCCTCAGCTGTTGGCCTCAAATGCCCTTGCTACCATAGCCAATGCTTGGGACCGACAGCTGTAGTCAATCACCTGGCAGCTCATACCTTCACCACCACTTCACTAAAGCTTATCAGCCTTCCACATCTGCTTCTGACTTGGGAAGCCCAGCCTGATAAAAGAGTGCAAGCTCAGGCTTCAACCGCCCCCCCACCCCCCAAGATAGTACATTATACTGGATACCTTAGACTAAAAATTTGTTTTTCTGTGCCAGGCTAAGTCCTTTTTATTTAAAACTTATTTTGTTAATTTATTGGTTATTTATAGGATTTTAAATCTTTTAAGCCGAGATGCACTGGGTTTTAGTATTTTTATTGTATAATTTGTTATATTTGTATATTTTGTTCTTCTTGTGAGCTGCCCCGAGGCTTTGTTGCGATGGGGGCGGCATAAAAATGTTTTAAATAAAATAAAAATATAAATCCTATAGAATCTGGCCTCAACAGAGTTGCTTGTATACTGTTAAAATGTATACTATTAGTAAAAATGTAGCTCATCTTTTTTCTACTTCAACTATCTTGGTAAGAATTTGAAAAAAGGCCAAATATTCTGCATCTTTATTGGAAAGAAAACTTCACCTGTCAATAGCTAGAATATACTGCTACTGTGAAAACTGATTTGCAAAAGTAGTACTTAAGGATAACAAGTAGACATCAGTTGTTAGGGTAGAGAATACAACAGCTTTGCTATTGGCATTTTTCCAGGGGCGTTTATTAATTCAAAACAGGAAAAGTGTTTCTCTGTCCTTAATTCTTTCTCTGCAATCCTTGTGATCTTCCTTTTGCTATTCCTTTCTCCTTTTCAGTCATGTCTACTCAACTGTGAACCTAAGCGTAAAGACTGCCTTACCTTTGCAGTGTTTGGAAAATTGTGTTTTTTTGTTTTTTGTTTTGCAAGAGTCCTGCACAACAGATCAGACTGCAATACATTAACTAAATGCATTGTCTAAAGCTGCATAGAGAATTCAGTGAATCAGAGATGCATGGTTCAAGGTTCACACCTGCTACTACACTCATTTCCTTTTTCAAGCAATAAAATTTATGTAACCTCAAACTTCAGTTCCCAGTGTTAACAGATGCTAACACAGCAACAAGGTTAGTTAAGAACCTTTTATGTTTCTAAATAACCTAGAACGCCCTCAGCTCTTTAATCTTCCCTATATTAGAAACTGAAATGTACTATATAAATAAATGCAAAGAGTCTGAACACAACAGAAACAATGTTTATTTTGAACAATGATTACTGTAACTGAAGTCTCATCAACAACTGACTAAAACAGCCAGACTTTTCCTGCCCACTTCATATTCTCTTTCAACCATTTAAGTACACAAGCATACTCCAAAGTATAAACTTGCTCCATGTTAATGTTTACTGTCAAATGCTTTATAAAAAGCTTTGGACTAGATATACGAGCTGCTTGAATCAGCCTCTCCACTGCACTTGGATAGTCATCTTCATTTCGTACATTGTTGTCTTCACATCTGAAAGAGGTTTCACAATCACAAAAAATACGATCAGCAGTTCTTAGAGATAACATACAAGCTACAATCTTGTCTTTCTTCCTAAAATATGTTTATATGGAACATTCACCCGGTTTTAAATTTTTGGACTGCAAATTCTTAGCATGCCTCATACTAGCTCTGCTGGTTAGGGAAGATGAGAGTGTTGCAGTCCAGCATCCGAAAAGCCAAATGTTCACAAAGGGGATTGGATGGAGAAAGTGGCTATCAGTGGCTACTAGCCTTGCTGTCTATGTGCTACCTCCTCTGTCAGAATTGTTGCAAAGCTTTGGCAGGTAGAGGTCTTGTGCCCATCCTGCCTGAAGGACCCTGTGGATAGCTGGTCTCATACTGTGTGTATGAAATGGACCTACTTTACCTCATCCTAGTAACATAATAAAGCAATCTGTGACTTGATATCTTACTGTTTTCCCACCATGCACAGATGATTTTGTGACGTGGGAGACAGGAATATTCATGGTGATTGGTAATTGTACTGACCTTTTTAGTATTATTTGAAGTATCTGATTGGATGCACCAGGGCTTTGAACACAACTAGCATTTGAAACCAAGAAGATTTCAATTGCTAACAGCATTTCAATCTCACTCATATAAGATGGAATCAGCAGAAGTTTGCGGTAAAGGTTTCCCTTCAGTGGTGGGTAACAACCCAATGCTAAAGCACCTAAAAGACATTAAAAAGTGTACTAAATAAAATGTATTTCTAGGATTTTATACAGGCAGTTGGTTATATTACAAAGTCTCTTCTGAGAGTAAAGCTGTATTCATTTTCCCCTACTACAGGAACTGCTGGTTTGGAGATTCTCAATAAAAAAGAGGGAAGAGAGAGAAAACCTGATCTAGTTTAGAATGGTTAGTGCTAGTTTGTGTATTCTATTAGAACTGGAAAATTCTAAACTTCTGATAATGGGATTCTGCTATCAACATCAAAAGACAAGTCCTCAATTTGTGATTGGACCTTCTGAGACAGACCTGCAAAATGGAGTCAGACATGACATCATAGTTTTGTAGCTCCTCTCAAAGCCTTATTGTCACAATCATTTTGGTGAGGCACAGGGCCTACAACTGAAAGACTTGGACCAATTTTCACTTGCTGTCCAGGAGATAATCATGTAAAGTCCCAGTCCCCCCCCCCCCGCCCCCGCACAGTAAAGTTGTTATCAGGACATGGAAGCTTTAAGGCTATGTGCTGTTGATGAGTAAATGAGCCGCCCCATTGAGTTGAGACATCTTCCTTCCATGTCTACAGCAGCAGAGTAAGATTGCCATAATCATGGAGTTTGGTGTTGGTGAAAAGTTTGGATGGGTGAAAAGAAAAGCCACACTCTTTACTTGTATTTTGGATATATGTTCCAGCCTTTTCTATGTTGAAGTCATGGAGGATGGCATTTTCCAGGACTGTTAAACTGTCTGGAGAAGTGTAAAAAAAAAAAAAAAAAAAGGAGGCGAACTCCATCAGAGTTGAGGATTCTGATAGGACCACATCAAAGATGAGATCCTACACCTGTGGCACCAGCCATTTGGTATCCAAGCTGAGAGATTGCACCATACGCAAAGTGATCCATGTCTTCTGAAGATTAAATGTTTTGCTCCTTATGATATTATCTGGCAAAAGGATGGATGCAACCACACAGAATAAGACGATGTTTTCAACTGACAGACTTTACCTCATCAGGTCTCTCCCTTTCTTCTGATCTCAGGACCAAGTTTGATAGTGAGGATTGCAAGCTGAGGAGGGGTGTTCACCCTGACAAAAGATCTCTATCAGTTAGTCCTCTACCTATCAGTGTCTAACTGCGGCAAGATGGTACCAGTCATATGAAAAGTCAACATCAGCGTGATGAGTGTTAGCACCAATGGCATTACAGGTTGCCTTGAAAGCCACCACTACTGGTACTCAATCCTCAGTATGACCTGAGTGGAAAGGATGGCTCTGAGCATCACTGTAGCCATTCCTGTAATAGGGCTGATAAAGTAGTGTTGTCCAGTCTGAGACTCTCTTCCAGTCAGGGAGGGAAAGATTATTTTTCATGATGCCAGCAGTGAGACAATCCAGGGAGGGCTCACACAGTGTCAAACATACAGCAAATTACTGGCAGGAAGCTCCCAAGCATCTCAAGCTTGAAGGAGAGGTCTGATCTTCCCTTCAGAGACTGAGGCAACTGGAGTTGACTGCCACTGGTGAAAGAGGCACAGACTGTATGGGATAATCAAGGAGTGGCAGCAGCCAAACTGGAAATGATTGATGAGTCTCTTGAGTGCTCTTGATAGGAAGCAGACACTTTCTTCCTTTTGGTCTAGTCTAACAGGCCTTTTTTGACAATTCTTTCACTAAGAGGGGGGACGGTTAGGTCTGTGAGTAGAATTGGGACAACTGAAGAAAGTGAAGACCTAAGCTCCACAGCAGTAGCAAAAAAAGTAACTTTTTGCAAGGAAATCTGCTGCAAATCCATTGCAAGACAAGAAAGTTCCATTGCCTCTAGTGCTCTCTTCCAAAGCAGATCCTTTAATCTGTCAAACTTGATTCTCCTGCCGTGTTTAGTCAAAGTCTCACAATATGGGCAAGAATCAATTAAATGTCCCTCATTCAGACAAAGTAGAGAGTGAGTGACCATTGGGTTGTGCAAGTTTGCTGCCACAGTACACACACTTCTGAAAAGCTGCCTTTGAGTCCATATATCTCTCAGGTGAGGAAAATGAACAAAGAATGTCAAAAATAAATAGCAAAGTAACAGAGTAAGAGAAGAAGAAAAAGGTCAGTGACCTCAACAAAAATGGTCAGTGACCTCAGCACATTTTTCTAAAGCAAAAGGACAACACTCCCTACAAGGAAACCACAAGGTCAAAGAGTATTAAGGGAAAGGACAGAAATACATTAATGCTATACGGTGGGGCAAGTTTCCCACAAAAATTCTTCAGCTACCAAAGCTTCCTGAATTGAAGCTCTGTGCATGTTCAGAGCCCCTGTGTGTGATGCACAGAGACTCTGAAGAACAACTGCACTTATAAGAAAGCCATAATGGCATTCTTGCAAAAGACTGAAACATTTTTGACCCCTTTTGAACAATTTTGAGGCACTAATTTTTTAGCTAGGAGTATTTCCTGACAACAGGGTCCACACATGTACAGAGTCTGTGTGTGTGCTGCACAGAGTCCATGAAGAAAATTGCAAGGTTCAGATGATAAACCACCATGGGTTTGGGCAACCATACAGAAACTAGGGGTTCTCAGAATGGTTTGTTCAGAAAATGTGCCAGTTCTGGGGAACACAAGTACCCAGAGGCTTATGTGGTGAAACTCACTCACTCTGTACTAAGTTATCTATGTATAATTGTGGGCTGGACTTCAGCACAAATGTTTTAAAGTGTTCGAACTATCTAAATGTTGTAGACACTTGTAAAGAGAGCTTACTTTTATAATGTGTCCTGGCTTTAAGCCACAAACAGCTTCTTCCTAGTGCTGTGATTAATGCCCGAAGTAAATTGAATTGGATAGGAATGTTCTTTGTTAACATGAATTCTACCGCATTAGATGATATTCCAAGGTTCTTGCTCTCTAAACAAGCATCCAGCAGTTTATTAAACAAAAGGCTGTACTGGGATACATCCAGAGTATCTGTAACAAAAAAATATTTTCTCCAGTTATGGAATAGGTCACTAATTTCAGCAACATGGAATCAAAGCAAACTATGGGGAGTTTGTTTAAAACTTTTCTGCGAATACTAAGGTATATGAGATCTCTCTCATTTATGAATAGACCACAGCTGACATTGCAATAGTTTCCCTCCTTAAATTTAAGCCATAGTTGCTTCCGAAAAAGACATTAAGCACACTTTATGACAGGTGGGGGAGATACAGTGGTGCAACAGGCCAATGGAGCAGAAAGAAAAGTAGACACTTTATTATCTAACCAACAGATTCCTAACTGCTTGGGGAGACTCCAGTGACCAAACTGCTTTCTGATGCACACTTTTACAGGCTGTATTATATCAGTCTTATACCAAGTATGCTGACTTCCAGGCTCAATTCATGGTACTGCTTCTTACCTATAAAGCTCTAAACAGCTTGGGGCTAGGATATCTGAAATAAAATTCTTTTCCATATTTACCGTATTTTTCGACTGTAAGACACCCCCATGTATAGGACACCGCCCACTTTTTGTACTGATCTCCAAGCAAGCAAGCTGCTGTTGAATGCACCCGCCTCCCCCCCCCCCGATCACACCCGCACTGCCTCCCCTGCAGCGCGCCCACGGTTCTCCTCTCGGCCCCCCATGTATAAGACGCCCCTCCATTTTTAGGTAAATATTTTTAAGAAAAAGTATTGTCTTATAGACAGGAAAATACGGTATCTGTTAGAATGCACAAGTCCCTGTTGTATATTCCATTACTGAAGGAGTCTACAGTGGTGGAAACATGAAAACGGGTCTTTCTGTGCAACACTTCAATTATGCAGCTCCCAGCTTAGGAAGGTAAGATTAGCTCCTCCATTGTTTGGTTTGGATAGGTAATAAAATCATTTCTACTCTGCCCAGAATTTTGCAGTTTTGAATAAAGGAGCCAATAGCTGATTTTATTCCTATGGGGATTTCACCTCTCTGTTGAGATTTTAATATTTGTTTTGTAGACAACCTTATGGTTGAAAGATGATCTACACAAATTTTGATAAATATTTGAACTCTTATTTCCCCACACCCCACAAGTATATCATAATGGTTTCCAAGTCTGTTGTATGCCAGTAAGTAATCAACTGCAGTAACAGTTTGCAGTTATCCCAGCAACACACAAAACTGCTCAGGTTCTTGATATCATTTTCTTGAGTATGCATTCTCAGCATGCTGCTCTTTTGATCTTCCTTTTGTCCCCCGGAACTTGATTCTGGGCTCAAATGGGAGTAATGGTTTTACTTTTTCCATACTTTCTTTCTCTCTGAACAGCAAGACTTACGGCATTACAGAAGCATTAAAGCTATACTGGGAACTTTAAAATAGATCGCAAAGGCCAGATCTTAGCTGGGATCCCATTTAAAGCCTTGTAGCACAACTTATCTAGGAAGGAGCAACTCCATGTGATGGCTAATTTTGTAATTCTGACTGTAATTCTGAAGCTAATTCACACTGCCTGCCTTTCTAGTAGATATGAAACTAGCAGTCTAAAAAAAACAAGTCATGATACAGGGAGTAGAGCAGCACCTTAACTTGCTTTGTTGATTTCTTAAGGGCCTTAAGAAATAACCACTCATAACCACTCATGCATTTCTCAATTCTATAAACCTCAAGATAGATGAAACCAAGAAGTAGTGGTTTCAAAGTAAACAGTGGTTTCTCTTACCGGGAAGAGAAAGAAAATTGTTGCTGAATGAAATGAACCCTCAATATCAAGATCGTACAGCATGAAGACAACATTTTATTTCATATTAGTCAAAATGATATCTGAACTACATTAATATTAGTTATTGAAGATGAAAATATAAATTCTTACCACAAGAATTCTCAAACCCTGGTAGATTTTGCAAGACTTCAAATGCCTCTCCATATCGGCTTTTTGTAATATATTCAGATGCAATTGTACATAGCAAATTATGTCGATTGAGGACATCCATTCTATCACAAGGCCATGATAGCGTATTTATTATCCAATCTGACTCTGGAGAGATTAATACTGTTGTTTTAAAAGCTATTAAAATAAGGCCATGAATATCAAAGCAAAGACAAAATCTAGTGCTTAATCCTCAACACTGCTGTTTTGTACACCTCCCCAAGTCATCTCACTGTATCTGAGATTTAAAATAATCTCAATTCTATTATTGTGGTATTTCCAGGATATTTTCATTTCTGTAGGAAGGAGGAACAGACTCCTAGAAGCCAGAAGACCATATCCTCTGTTACCTGGAGAGCTGCTGCTGCTGCAAAAGTTGTCAAAAGGATCACTGGAAGTAGCACAACAGCAAAGCAGGGCTGCAGCTAGGATTCAGTAAATGGGAGATTGCCCAGGGAATAACTGCATAGCATTCTGCAGTGCTGAGGAATGCTGTTTGTATTAAGTCCTTAATCTCCCAGAACATTGCAGAAATAATTATGAAAAAGTGCTTGTTAAAAACTGCCCATATTGTGGATCAAACATTTCTCCATCCAACAATGCATAAAGTCTGTAGGAAACCACATTTTAGATGACTAAATAGTTACTCTCAGTTCCTTTTTAATACTCTATTGGCTTCAATGTATTTCAATTATATTTCAACTTTGGTTAGCAAATGATAGAAGATATAATTTTAAATATGAGCTTGAGCTATGTTTGTTTTTTACTCTATCTCTTTTGTGTAATTTCTTTTAGACTGTAAGCCTGAGGGCAGGGACTGTATTGTTTTTATTGATCATATGTAAGCCATGTTAGGAGCCTTTTGCAGTAAGTAGTGGGGTAATAAAGCAAGAGAAAGAGAGATAAGGTGGAGAGAGGCAGCAACGTCAGCATTTGGACCTCTTAGTCAGTTTTTCTGCTATATTAAACTCTAACAAATGAAAATGAATACACTCGTGTTATTTCAATCCCTGTTCATTTTTGTTAATATAACTTTACCTCTTAGTACCCATATTGCTCCATCTAGGCTCCCACATTTGAGAAAAATTTCCACAGCAACATTAACAATGTGGCATCTTGGTGCTAATCTTTCTTCACCAAGAAGTCCTTTAAAAAATGTGAAATTTATTTTTAAAGCATGGAACACATCCAGAACCTTCCTGGCCTGTGATAGAAAAGAAGAAAAGCAGGACTGAGAATTACTCCATCACCCTCTTGTCTTAGAACAGTTATACACATGCAGTGCTGTATTCATTTACTTTTATCTTACCAGATTGCTTAGTCTCAGAACTAACATTATTTTTAAGAATTATTCAAACATAGATATCACTTTCCACAAAGGTATCAAAATGATGAAAATACAGTAAAATGGCATAAGAACACTATGGCAATAAAACTAATACTACAAATTAATCAGCAATAAAACTGCACACTCTACCATGTGCTATAGACCACAACTGGCTGAGTGGCACTTTGGAGAAAGCCTGTATGATGGCACATTTTAACATGGTTGAACATTAGAACTGTGAGATCCAGTTTAATGTTAACTGAGAAAGTGCTCCAGAAGGCCCAGAAGGGAACTGCAACACTAAGTGCTCTAAATCCCAAGTGCTCCTGAAATGAACCTCCGGGTCCCGTGGCACCCTCAGAAATGCCGAAGTTTGACAATTATGCTATCAAACTATCAATTTAGCTGATTTCTAGTGCACTGCCATCACTGACCATGCACATCTGCTTATAACTTAATTCAAGAATATTATTTAGGTGCCAGGTTATGGAGTTAAAATGCAGCTCTTATATTAACACATGTTCATCAACTGGCAAAAATCACTTGAAATTCTAACTATGGCTATGTAATTCACCATCTTGGCTCCTTAATCATGACTTGAGCAATTAATTCGGCTTGAAACTTCCAATCAGAACAAAACATACAAGCTCCAATGGCAGAGCATGCATTATGTCACTATAAATTTTAGAAAATATATTACAAGTCCTTCTATTGAAGGAAAAAACCCTGCTTCATAAACCATCTATTTAAACATTGAAATGTGGCATGTTCTTCAATGCCACAATAATTAATATACATATTTTACAGAAGGAAAGACAACATCGCATTCTGCCCTTCCACTACACCCACTCTACTTTCCAAGAATTTTAATGCATCCTGGAAAGAAATGGCTTATGTGTAATAAAGTCAGCTTCACATTGTTTTTTTCAACTGTTCAAAGATGCTCCTTTAAATGTGTATCCATTTCTGATTGAACCAGGATCTACCCAGAAGTGGACAAAAGACTCCTTGCACTAAAAATAAAACACTATGCAGGCACTGTGTTCAGTCTTTTCTGCCATATATATTTTTTCCTGGTAATCAAGAAGAAGCAGAATTGAGAAGACACAGGACAGCTACAAATAGAAGACAAAGACACCTGAGTCCTGTGAATCAGACAGTACAACTGCACAATAAAATCCTTATCTGGAACCATCCACTGTTATACTGGAGTATTTATATATTTGTGGCAAGATCAGTCACAGTTAAAGGATCTTTCAGGTCTACTGATTTAAGTGGAGGAGGTAAATGCATGCTTAAGAGTCTTTCCCACTGAATCCATTGGGACCCAGCCAGTGTTTGCAGGGTAGGGCATTCACATTTTATTCTGCATCATTCTGAACACTTGGAATTTCTGACATACTTTCACTAAGTTTGAAACTTTTTTTTCCTTCCAAAGTGTGAATTTCTAATCAAGGTTGGGAAGTGCTATGCTTTTCCATCTTTAATTATATAGAAGAGATTCAAAATTGGGGAATGTCATATTTGAATCGTTTCAGTAATGTGCATAGTATTACTATGCAATATTTGAGCAAAATACACCAGGACATGGCCAGTATGGTATCCAGCTCTTCATCATACTGACTTCGTGCAAAAGGGAGAAAATCTATCAGCAAAAATTCTTGCCATGTCAGTCTGATCTGAAAGAAATGCAAGTTTCCTCTTAATCTTTTAGAAGTTCATTTGTCTACCTGTAAAAGTTGTTCGAGTGGTCATCAGTGTATTCACACATTTGGGCTCTGCACCTGTGTGCGGCCTGATATCTGAAAGATTTCTTAGCTGGACTTGTTCTGGCGGAAGCTCCTCCTTTCCCACCCCCCAGTATATCTGGGAGGGGTCCACTCCCACTTCCTTAGTTCCTTTGAAACCAACATTGTGGCTTAGGAAGCAACGAGAGAACAGTAAACAACTGACTGTGAACCCAAGGACTGTAGGATCAAGGAACTGCAAATTGTCAAAGCTGATCAGCACAGACATGGGGTTGGTGGGTGGGGTGTGCTGAATGCACAGATGACCACTCAAAGAAAGATAGTTACATGTAAGCAATCTTCTTCATGGTCTCTGTGTATTGCACGTATGAGTGACTGGTGAGTTTACCTTCCAGTTGGAGGTGGGAATGTATTGTCAGGAGAGGACAGCAAATAGGACTGCCCTGCTTTAGGAACAGTCTTGTGTGGTGCTGGTAATGTCAGATGAATATTTATGGGGTAGACCACATCGTTGCCTTGCAGGGAGATGTCACACGAAGTGCCACTGATGTGGCCATTGCCCTGGTGAGCTCTGGGTTGCTCAGGGAGTTGCAGTCCTGTGAACTGATGAGAAAGCACGATGGTCTTGACAACCCAATGTGCTCACCAACGAGAGCTGATGTGTTTGCTTCTGGGCCTGTTGCCATAGCAAACAAAAAGTATCTGGGAATGGTGAAAGGAGTTCAATTCAAGACCAGTAGAATGCAAGTGCCCTGTGTACACTGAGTGTATGCAGATAGATTCCATTGGGTTTAGCTGTATAACAAAGAAGCCTGGCAAAACAAAGTCATGGTTAAGGTGGAACGGTTAAGCAACCTTTGCAAGCAAAAAGGGGCCTGGATGCAGGATTGCCTTGTCCCTGTGGAAGGAGAGATTTGGTTGCCCAATGGAGCGAGTTCACGAAAGATTTATATGATCTGAAAAGAAACCAGAGTATAACCTACACCCTAACCCAAGCCATGTGTACAGCTCTCCTATCTGGTTGCTATTCTCAAATTCCAATGGAGCAATGTGTCTGTATCTGTGGATCACCACAAGTAGAGAAACTCTTGTATTATATTCTTCACTGTTCTCTATATTGTGAACCTAGAGAAAATTTTTTGCCTGGTATGCTACCTGCCTTTAATGCTTACTCTGATTCTGAGAAATTAGTGTTTTTGTTATCAAATGCTGATGCATACGTGTCTTATCAAATTTCTTTTTTTGCTCTCGCAGCTAAAAAGAGCTAGGGAGGCTTTAAAGGGGACATAATCCTGAATCATATCTGGACTTTTAGTATTATGTTTTGATACACCTGATTTATGGTTTTATTTGTTAATCTGTTTTACTTGTTAACTTGTAATGGCCTATGGCTAAATACAATCAGTTGACTGAGTTCGCTGGCCCTTCTGGTCATGTGGAAGTCTACCTCCCAGGAGAGAAACCTGAGGTCTGCTATGACCAGAGGGTTGAAAGGCTGCTTCCAAGGGCCTGCAGAACAACCAAAAGGCTCCAGCTTGGAACAAAGGACTAGATTTATGGAGTTATGTTTTCTATTCTTTTCAGGAACCTGTAGGACAGCAGATGAAAAAAGACCAAGAAACCTTGAATTGGTAGATGGAACAAGGAGATCACCATCAGGTAGACCTTGATGAAAAACTGTTTAAGAATCCTGCTGTAAAAATTATGCAGGAAGTCAAGCATTTGTTGGATGGCTAACTGGTGAGGATCAATGGATTTTTGCTGGGCAAATGTGGAAAATGAATTCCATTTCATGTGTGCAATCTCCTTGTGGATGGTCTGAATGCTGCATTGAGCATTGCCTGTGTCCCAGTCTACCTGACAATCTTCCACATTTTGAGGTACAGAGTGGCAATACTAGGATAGAGCAGCATCCCTCAGTTCCTTGAGATGAAGTTTAGATGGAAGGCAGATGAACGTCCCGTTCAACAGCCAGGGCTGATTCACGAACCATGATGGCCTGATGAGGAGGCAGGTGGTCCTGCCTCTGCAAATTTTCACCAGTACCTTGGTAATCAGTGGGAATGGTAGGAAGAGTTTAAAAAAGAATCTCAAATCCAGTGAAGGAGGAATGCATCCCCCATCAAATTCTTCCTGGCCCTGGCATAAAAGTTGTCAAATTCTGTGTTGGTCTTGGTGGCAAAGAGATAAATGGATGGAATTCCTCAGTTTTGGAAGATGTCTGCAAGGATCATTCTCTCTGTGAATTCCCTTACCTGCTCAGGGAACCTGCTCTTAGGTTTACCATTGTGGTCACATAGATGGTGGTGAGTGTGATGCTCTTGTCAATATATTAGTCCCATACGTGCATGGTTAGACGTGCTAGGCAGAGGGACCTGGTGCCTCCTAATTGTTCAAGAAGAACACCATGGTAGTCTTGTCAGTAGCAATCTGCATGTATTGGTTCTGAAAGGGAGAGTGGATGAGGACCTTTTGTACTGCTAGGAGTTCCAGGTAGTTGATATGGTTGTGATGCTCTTGAGCGGTCAATGCCCCATGTGTCTGGTTGGTGCCACAGTGCACTTCCTATCCCAGGGAGGAGGAGTTTGTTGTTATAGTTCCAGTGATGTGAAGCTGATATCCTTGGCTAGATTGGATCAGTTGCTCCACCAGGCTAGGCTTGACTAGACCAAATGTGGGAAAGTAAGATGCTTCTGATTCAATCTGCATTTTGGCCAGTGTGTACAAACCAGACCTGGAATGGACACATCCAAAGTCTGGTGAATCGGACCACCACAACTGTTGCTGCCATGAACCTTAGGCAGCACTACACTTGCCCACCATGTTTCTGGGGCTGGCTTGGAATTGTGAGGTCATACCTACCAGGATTGTGGCCCTGGGGGCCAGGTGGTAGGCTTGATCAGTAGTAGAGGACTGACTGCCTGATGTAGAGGACTGACTGCGAGGGAAACGCAAGAAGATTTTTCTTGATTTAGACAGAGACTGAAAGTTTCCAGAAGGTCACAAGTGATTCTGTGAAGTCATCTTCTGAGGGGAAAATATGGAATAAGTCATCAAGGTAGGGGAAGACTTGGATTTCTTGCAGATGGAGATGGACATGAATGACTATAATGCATTTGGTAAACACCTTTGGGGAGATGGAAAATCCAAATGAGAGGATGGAAAATTGAAAAGCTTCCATAGCAATTTGTAAATGAAGGAAATGCCAGCAATCCTGATGGTCTGGGATGCAAAAATAGGAATCCTTCAAGTCAAAAGAGGCAAACCAGTTCCCTTGATGTAGCGGTGGTAAGATGTTCTGCAGAGAAACAGCATGAAACTTCTTCGGTGTGATAAAGAAGTTGACATCTCTGAGATTTAGAATAGGATGGAGACCATCATCCTTTTTTGATGGCTTTTTGGCTTTGTTTTGATAGGTTTAGGTTAAGGTTAAAATGGGAAATTTAAAAAAAGAATTGTAGTGTAAGTTAAAAACCAAGAATGAGAAAAAGAGTTAGGGAAAAGTGATAGCTTCTAAAAGAGGAAAGTCCCAAGGCACCCATAATGGTGGTTGGAAGAGATTATATCCCTCTCAGATATACTGCAGAGACTCCCACCAGAATAATCTAGATAGGAAATCTTTTCAACAATGGGTCCTGCACAGGTGCAGAACCTTATGTGTGATGCACAGAGACCACAAAGAACCTAAGGATTTCAAACCCATTGTCAGGAAGTGGGACACTTATCTACTTTAAAAATATTATGCTCATAATGGCATTATCTGAGGTTTGCTACTGTAAAACTTACACACATTAAAGCTATGTAAGTACAAAATGAAATAAACATATTATATCTACTTTTTCTAGATGAACTATTTCCACTAGAGAACTAGTTTAACAGAACTCAGTAAAAATACCTTTGACCATTGCTGTACTTTATAATATGAAAACATAACACTGATACCAATCCTTCCCAGTAAAGTTGTGTCTGCTTCATTGTGATATGGATCAGCATTAACTAGAAAAGAAAAAACTTATTAGCAATTTTTATTTAAATGTCCTTAAATTATGTTTTAAAATGGAGTGAAGACAGTATAATGAATTTGTTTAGATCAGGATGGCTTCTGGAGTAACCCAAGTTGTTCACTCCTGGTCTAGATAAAACAGTTACTTGCAATTGAAATGTTGCCTTCATTGACCTCTCACAAGAAAATCTCTTATTGTACTGAGTAAGAACAATATCTGGAGGATAAATCATACATTTCCTGGCAATTGCATATACTGCCAAATACAATTATAGGCCTTTCTGCATTTTAGGTCCCTGGGGAAAATTTGGCCCCACTAAAGGAAGTTTTTTGCCTAAAACTACAGGGAAGAGAGTATACGCAATTTAAGAAACATATGAAAATATTCCAACTAGCTTCAACTGTTTTGCCTTACAGTACCTTATACACAAATATGTACTGTGAAATTTTTTAAACATCCAAGAAGAATTAACTCATTGAGGCTATTATCCTAAACATACAGTGGTACCTTGGCTCACCAACTTAATCCGTTCCAGGACTCTGGTCGTGACCCAAGTCAAATTTCTCCGTAAGATTCAATGTAAATAAGGTTAATCCATTCTGGGCCCTACAAACGTGGTCGTGAGCTGATTTTTGGTCATGAGCCAAGTCAAATTTCCCCATAAGGTTCAGTGTAAATAAGGTTAATCCATTCAGTAACCATTTTTATCACAAAAATTTGAAACAAAGTGACAAAAACAACAAAGTAACAAAGAACAACAAAGTAAAAAAGTACTGTACAGTACAGTAGAGAACACTAACCTAGGCGGGGAGAGGTTACTGTTTGGAGGGAGAGGGAGAGTCCACATAATTGTGCGACAGAGATAGTGCTGGGGAGGAAGACGGGAGCAGTCGCAGCCATTCCCCTCCCCCCCCCAGCACGATCATGGTCATCTCTCCCCTCCCTCCGAGCAAGACTGTGATCGTATCCATCTTCCCTGCAGTTTAAGAGAAAGAAAAAGTTTAAGATTTAAAAGATTATGATTGAGAAGACAAGTGAAAAGAAAAATGCCCGAGGCACAGTGAAAGACGGTCGCAAGCAGACCGAGGAAAGGGTGGGCACTCAGACCATTTATACTATGGGGGAGGAGGGCGTAGAGTTCCCGCCAAAAACCATTAAAGCTATTAAATCTTCCTGGTAACAGTCACTGCACACTCCTAATGTGTGATGCACGGAGACCATGATGAATTATGGTTTAGCATTTATGTCTGAACTGGCACAGTAAACTGACTGAGGCAACCACTTCATACCATGGTATTAACTTCTCACATACTCCTTTTAAATGTGCAGTGGTGAATGTCATGTATTTGCAACTATAGTTGCTGATATAGTTGCAACTATATCAGCTGCGCCCCTACCTGGAGTACGACTGCCTGGCGACAGTGACACACACGCTGGTGACTTCCCGTCTTGACTTCTGTAACGCGCTTTACATGGGGCTACCCTTGAAGACGGTCCGGATACTTCAATTGGTTCAGAATAGAGCTGCCAGGCTGCTGACGGGGACTGGGCATTATGTTCACATGACTCCAGTCCTCCGTCAGCTTCACTGGCTTCCCATTAAAGTCCGGGGCCAATTCAAGGTGTTGGTGATGACCTATAAAGCCCTAAACGGCTTGGGTCCTGGTTACCTGAAGAAGCGCTTACATCCATATATGCCCACCCGCCCCTTGAGATCTGTGGGAGAGGCCCTTCTCCGGGAACCCTCCGTGAAAGAAATTAGGAGGGTAGGTACTCGGAGGAAGGCTTTCTCTGCGGTGGCGCCCAATCTATGGAATGCGCTCCCCAGAGAGGTCCGCCTGGTGCCGTCGTTATTTGTTTTTCGGCGCCAGGCAAAGACCCTTTTATTTAAGCGTCATTCTAATTGTTAACAGTATTTGCTTATTTTATCTGGCCAGGGCGACTTATTTTATATTGTTATTTATTTTATATTGTTATTTTTGTATTTTATTTCATGTTGTGAGCCGCCCCGAGGCTTCGGCGAATGGGGCGGCATAGAAATGTTTTAATAAATAGATAAATAAATAAAAATATAGTGTAGCACACCATGAAACTCTATAAACTAACCAAAACAAGGTACAGTTTCTATGAGCCATCCCATCCCATCCCATCCCATCAGAAGGTACAAAGCCATTAAAGTGCTGGCCTTTACCAGCTGGCTGTTATCTTTGTCCATGTGTTCCCCTAGATGGGCTAAAACCCTACTGAGAGAATCAGACTAGATGTGTCAGGGGTCGGCAACCCATGGCTCCGCAGCTGCACGTGGCTCTTGAACCCCTCTGCTGCGGCTCCGTTGCTCAAAAAACGCACCGGCTAAACAAGCTTCCTGCAGGCTCTCATGTAACACTAAACGCTGCTGAAAAGATTCTTTGTCCCAGTGTAATCTCCTTCATCTGAATGTTAAAAGCTGCGCTTGGGACCTGTCACAATTCACAGCAATTGACTGTTTATCTGCTAATCAGTCACTAAACACACCTATATCTCTGCACAGTCGCAGATCTGTGGATCCGGGCCAATTTACTGAGCCCCCTGCCCCCCCCCCCGTAGGCCAACCATGGATAAATTGAAGAAAAGTTTCTGAAGAAAACCAAACGTTTAATGATACATGGGTAGATTCATTTGCTTTTACTGCTGACAAACTTATGGGGTTTGCTGTTTAATGCATGCAGCCCTTTAGCACTGACTTTTGACTCTTCAGAAAGCTGTTCTCCTATTCAAAATATATGAAAGGAGTCCTACTAGTTTATAATGTAAGATTGAAAATAACAGTTTTTAGTGATTGAACAAGAGTTGCAGCTAAATCATAATGAAGATATACATAGCATTAAGGTAAAAAACGATATATGCAGTGTTATCTTCATTTTAGATGTCAAAAGGGTTTTGCGGCTCCCGGTGTTTTCTTTTGTGTGGGAAATGGGTTCAAATTTCTCTGAGTGTTAAAGGTTGCCGACCCCTGCGATATGTAATGTTTTCCCTGCCCAGGGATAAAACCCGGTGGAACAGAAGAGGTGGGTAAGAGAAAGGAAGTAGGCAAATACAAGTTAAGAGGACCTTTCTGTGGATCCTCCTTTAACATTTTCTGTGGATCCCTTCCTGTGTCTCACCTCTGTGCATTTCAGCCAGTGTAATACCTGCAGTGATGATATTCTCGGGGGAGCCAAAGTTTGTTCAATTACAGTATAAGTGCTAAGTTTTGGTGGAGCTCAGTCAATTTTCATTAAAGGCATTTGATTTTCCTTTCAATGTGGCTCTAGAATAATTAGCAGTATTATACAAACTTTACCTGCAGTTGCAAATTCACAAAAAGGAATGCTTGATCTTTCTGTCTTCATGGAACTCATTAGGATGTTAGCAATGCACAATGAGTACTTTTCAAGGTCACCAAAATTTTCACACCCTCTTCTCACATTAATGTATAAAGTTCCTAGTTTAGTCCAGTCACCCTTTTCTTTACAATGCTGTTTAAAAATTGATAAAAATGTTGATAGAAATATTTACAACAGTTCAGGCACAAACATGGCAAACTTAAGTAGTTAAGTGTACTACTAATTTCAATAACTCAGGTTTTGTTTACTACTGGGTCATTGGTCAGCTAGCAAGTTTTTACAAGATCTTTCACACTATATGAATAAAACACTCAAAATAATTATTTTATTAAGGGTTAAAATAACTGCAGAAGGCAACAAAAATGAACCAGGTTTTGGAAACCCTGCCCTATAAGAAAAGACTGAGAGAACTGGTCATGTTCAGACTTGAAAAGAGAAGACTGAGGGGGCAGGGGGACATGATATCCCTCTATAAGTACCTCAAAGGCTGTCAAGATCTCTTCTTGCTGATGCCAGAGTGTAGGACATGGAATAATCAATTCAAGTTGCGACAACCCAGATTCAGGCTGGACATCAGAAAAAGCTTCCTCACTGTCAAAGCAATACAACAGTGGAACCAGCTGCCTAGAGAAGTGGTGGGCTCTCCCACACTAGAGACATTCAGAAAGAAACTGGACAGCCATCTGAGTTGGATGGTGTAACATAGTATCCTGAAACAGCAGGGGGTTGGACGCAATGGCCTTCATGGCCCCTGCCAACTCTACTATTCTGTGATTCTATGAATCAAGCATTCTGGGTGTTGTACAAATAATGAATTTTGATCAGGTAGCTTTCAGAGTTGTCTGTTTAAAATGACATCTGATTTTAGAAGTTTTTAGTATTATAAAATATTCAAGAAGTTAGTTTTGTACTAAGAAAGGCTACTATTAAGTATCAGGCAAATCAAGCTTAGGCAAAATGTGCAGATAATTTGTCTTCTACTAAAGAGTAATGTTTTTTGGTACCAAACTAAGATGTTGAATGCCCAGATGTTTGCACAATAGTGTGCTTTAAACATACAAAATGCAGTCATTGAGGCCGTAATCTGCTGCAGAAGAAGGTTTTTAATCTGTTTTGTTCCAGCATTTTTTCAGCTGAAGGCTGTCTAAAAATTACTGAAGGAAATTGTAGGTTCCTATGGTTATTCTGACTTACATTGATGTCAGCTCCTATCCTGGCCATGAAACAAAGCTGTCTCTGCCCCTTGCTCATGAATTCTGAGGCAAATGCCCTGAACACTATAACCTTGAGGCAGATGATCAAGGGACATTTTGCTTTGTAGCCTTTCAGTTATTTCAAGTTTAATTTCCACGCTTAGTAGTTTCACATTTCTTTGTGAAAGAAAAAGTATTGCTTCACTAAAACTGAACAACCAAGAATATGTCATTCTGTGTTTTACATGTACATTCTGTGTTTTACATTGATTCCATATAATATGGTTAGAATCGTAGAGTTAAATATCTTATCAAACCCACTTTAAAAACAAAATATGCATACTATACCTGAAACTCTGTTATTGCCGAATTAAAGTCACAAAACCTGGGTTTCTGGAAATCCCTTCCCTGAAATCTTAAGAACAAAATTTATCTGGTTATCTGTTCTTGAGAAAACTTAATTTGGGGTTTAACATTTAAAAGTAATAAATTCTCAACCATTCTCTCCTTTATTTTTCTAATCCCAGTATCTATTAACATAAGCAGACTGCAGTAGAAAAATAAAATCCCATCTCCGTTATTTGCAAGTAGTACAGGGAGCTCAAAAGAAGTAGCTGAAGCATACTAGCTTAGAAGTGTACATGTGAATGCTTTTGAACATCAGGGTTTTGTTTTGTTTTTTGTTTTGCTTTCAGAGTATATTAAAATTTGGCAGATGAAGCTGTTCAAAAGGTAGACCATAATGGTGATGTGACAGTGTTACCACTGAACAGCGGCTTCTGTTTCCCAGTTCTACTATGTGTTAACCATAAGTGCCTGTCCCTACAGCAGCATCTGCACTCTTACTGGGAACCATAAGCAAGATCTAGTGTAAAGAAGCTCAAGACAAGAGAGGAAGGATATACAAGATCGTGGCTGAACAGGATATGCATTTTGAGGTGCAGAATACAAGAACTCTAAATAGACTGTCTCTCAGATGGAATTCCTTGAAGGAGGCAGCTCAGTGAATAGATACAGGGGGCTCTGAGTTCCTTGGGAATTTGGGGGTGGCAGAAGAAGAGATGGAGGACAAACTGAAGTAATGGAAGAAAATAATTTATTAATTTACATATAGATTTTTGCTAGGCAAAGCCAGGCAGAGATTACATAGGGAGTTTAACTGAGCTGAAGGAAAAGAAGTATAATGGAAGAGAATCCTTTCACTAAATTGTCATGCACCTCTTAGAACCATTCTATATGTAAAACATCCCACATAAGACTAGTGTCAACTCTTAAGTCAGCCAGGTTGTTGGGGATGATGAGAGTTTAATTTTTTTTAACTATTTTGTTTTAGCTTTATACTGTTAATAACATTTCATGAATATATTGCATATACTTCCCTGTAGTTTCTAAAAACTGCAATTCCTCCTTTTCCTGCTCAAAGGCTCCAAAAGAGAGGAAAAATCTTTATATCTGTACAGGGTCACATATCTATGGAGGCAATCTCAGGGTTGTATACTGATGATGCATGAGGCCATCCCTTTTAGTTCCCTGCCAGTAATTGACAGGTGAAAAACAGAGATTCCACCAGAGATCTGAACTAATCTCTCTGTATTATTCTGATCATTTCATCTTCTCCCCATTTCTCCCTGCCCTTTTCTGGTTATTGCCTACTTCCATGAGGTTAGACAGAGTCTCAAGTTATGTACCCCTGCTCCTAAACAATTAATTTGCTACAAAGAATTTATAAACTGATTGAGATGTAACTACCAGTCAAACAAGCATGGGTTATCACAGCGAGGATGAAAATGGTGTGGACATGCTCTCTCTTTCACCATAATACTTGCAAGATATATCAAACCATAGTTGGTCACATCTTAACCAGAAACCTGGATTTAACCATGGTCTAAATCTGGTTTTACATCTTAAGTGTTCAATAGCATGCTTAAGACAGCTTCCCAGTTTAAAAAACAAAGAAACAAAAACAGGAAACAGTGGTTTGACCAAACCCAGAGGTCTGTGGAGCAGGAAGACGACAGTACACAGGCACCATACTAAATTGTCTCACAGATGATGACACATTAAATTGAAAATGCTACATCTGACCTTGGGCCTAAAAGATCAGCTATCAGACTTCTTTTTGATCCCATGCATTCATTTTATCATATTGTATGCACTCAATTCAGAAATGGTATCACCATTTTTAAATTTGTTGAATATACACTACTCAGTAAAAGCAGACTTCAACATAAATAAATATCTTATTAATAATCTACCACATAATACAAAGTAGCAACATAACACAAATGTAGCTAAAGTATCACATAAGAGACACTCAGCTTATCTAGATGAGAAACAGCTTACATCTCAAATACTTTTTATGGAACCCACAGTAGAGAAAGATGTATTTATCTGTTATAATAACTGGCATATGAAAAGTACATACTTGGACAAAAACATGCTTATTTCCTGAGCAGAAACCTGTAGAAGATTGAGAAGCTTGGTGATATAGGTAACATGCTCGTATCCAAGAATCATTCCAGAATCAACAAGCTATAGAAGGGAAAAACAGTGCCTGAATATGAACATTCTTAGAGACCTCATAAATAGAAGATGTCATATTTATTTATTTAAAACATTTGTATGCCATCCTTCACTATTGCGTCTCAGTATGGCTTACATAATTAAAAGCAAGACCATAAAATAATCAGTAAAACAGAACAATACAATAAGATTATAAAAACTAAAACAAATAAATCCAATCAAAACCGAATATAACAAAAGTGACTGTAAAAAAAGCAGGTTGCTCACCTGTAACCGTCGTTCTTTGAGTGGCCATCTGTGCATTCACACATATGTGTGCTGCGCCTGTGCAGGGCCTGTAGCCGGGAAGATTTAAAAGCTTAACAGTTTTGGCGGGAACTCCACACCCCTTCCCACCCTAAAGTATAAGAAGGTGGAGTGCCCGCCATTTCCTCAGTCTACTGAAGACCATTTGCCCCCAAGTGGGAGCGTTAAGTATTACAGAGCACCTGCTCAAACACTAAGTAGACATATACATAGAAATATATATGAAGAAAAACCTTTCTACGGATCTGCCACCAAGGGAAACACGGTACTGTAGAAACCCAGTCACCGACACCAAGTGGGGCCGGTGGGTGGGTTGTGTGAGTGCACAGATGGCCACTTGATGAACGACAGTTACAGGTGAGCAACCTGCCCTTCTTCAATTGTGGCCTCTGTGCATCACACATATGGGTGATTAGCAAGCTTACCAGACCCGGAGGCGGGGTGGTGTTGTCATTGGAGAACAGAAGAAAGGACTGCCCGACCAAAGGAGCAATCCTGTCTGGCACGCACATCGAGGTGGTAATGTCTGGCAAAGGTGCAAGAAGTAGTCCAAGTGGCAGCCTTGCATATGTCCTGGATCAGAATGCCAGCAGAAAAGGCAGAAGAAGCTGCAACAGCCCTTGTGGAATGTCCTCTGGGCATGACAGGTAAGTCCAACTTAGCAAGTTGATATGCCAGCTCGATGGTCTGTACAATCCATTTCGAAAGTCTTTGGGATCCAATAGGAGATCCCTTGTCATGTTCTGAATACTTGATGAAAAGCTGCCTGGTTTTGCGAAAGGGTTCTGTGTGAGATCTGTAGAAAGTGAGCCAGTGATGAATGTTGAGAGTGCAGAGATTGCTCTATAGGCGTAGATGGAGTAGGGAAGAAGGCTGGTAAAATAATGCCTTGATTGACATGGAAAGGTGACATGATTTTCAGTAAGAATGCCCGTCGGTACGCAGAACGACCGTCTCCTTGTGGAAATTGAGATAAGGAGGGTCTATACGGAGCACAGAGCTCACTTGCCCTTCTAGCTGATATGATAATGATGAGAAAGGCAGTCTTCCAGGACAAGAGGCGTAAGTCAGTAGTTGCCAAGGGCTCGAAAGGAGGCCTGGTGAGTATCTGTAGAACAACAGAGAGGCTCCAATTTGGAATAATTGGTCTAATCGGTGGCTGAAGATTCTGTAGTCCTCTAAGGAATCAACGAATGAGGACATTAGAAAATACCGATGAGCCTGCCACCTGGCAACGGTAATGAGAAATTGCTGCAATGTAAACTTTGATGGATGAGGGTTTCAGTCCAGTATGGTGCAATGACAGGAGAAATTGAAGAATATTTTCAATGGAGGCTGAGTGAGCAACAAAGTTATTGGATTCAGCAAAAGACGTGAAGCACCTCCCATTTAGCCACATAAGAGCGGTGGGTCATAGGTCTTAGCGCAGACTGGAGAATGAACTGAATATCAGGATGCAGAGCACTCGGATCTGATGGAGCGTTTGTCGGTATCGAGGAAGAATGAGCAGTAGAGTCTGGAAACCGCTGGGTCAGTGTCGGGACCAAGGGAGCTGTCGGTACCGAAGGAGCACCGTGACTCATTAAATGAGCCAGGCTGTTAAATTGAGTGAAGGAAGATCCGGGTGATGTACAGCCCCGTTCTGGTGAGTTATGAGGTATGAGAGGCAGTCACTGAAAGGTGTTGCTGGACAGACGGAGAACAGTAGGAAACCAGGGAGCCACCAGGGAGTGACAAGAATTCCCTGAGCCTCATCGAAGCTGATCTTGGCGAGAGTTCTTGCAATAAGTGGTATTGGGGGGAACGCATAAAAGAATGTGTTTGTCCACGAGATCATTAGAGCATCCCCCCTTGAACCCGGGCCAATGCCCACTCAGGAGCAGTATGCCTTGCATACCGTGTTCGCATGAGTGGCAAACAGATCTATGTCTGGAGGGTCCCAAGTCTGAAAGATGTGATGGCAGATCTGACGATCTAATTCCCATTCATGGGTCATCGACATCCGTCTGCTGAGTGCGTTCACCTCCTCGGTACCAGCTAGGTGAACAGTGAGGAGGGTAATTTCCCTCGGGATGCACCAGTACCACAGTTCCATAGCCAGGTGAGCCAGGGAGGCAGACTTTGTTCTGCCCTGTTTGTTTATATAGAATACAGTTACAATGTTGTTGGAGGCAACTTGAACAATTTGTCCCCGAAGAGTGCCCTCGAATGACTGAAGGGCTTTGAAGACAGCCAGTAGTTCCAGGTAGTTGATGTGCTTGGCAGTCTTGTGACAGTCCCAGGTGCCTTGAGTACGGAGACCGGCACACAGGAATCCCCACCCGGTGAGGGAGGCATCAGTGAACAAAGTCAGTGTTGGCTGAGGCGGGCGGAACGGAATGCTGACAGACAGATTGCTCTGTATAGTCCACCATGATAAGGTCTGGAGAATGGAAGTCGGGAGGCGAAGTAGCTGGTGAGGCGAGTCTCATTGAGGCTGGAAGAGGCCACTGAACCACAGTTGGAGGGGCCTCATCTGTAGTCTGGCATGTGGGACCACCGAGTTCATGGAGGCCATGTGTCCAAGGAGCTTCTGCACTGGTAGTGCTGGAACAGTTCTGTCCATGTGGATTTGCTGAATGGATGCATGAAGGTTGTCTTGTCATCCTTGAGGAAGGAAGGCTTTTGCTATTGTAGAGTCGAGATGGGCGCTGATGAAATCGATGATCTGTGAAGGAACAAGGCATGAGTTTTTGTGGTTAATACACAGTCCTAAATCATCTAAGAGGGTACAAGTAGTCCGAATCGACGATCGAAGGCCTTCTCTAGATGAAGAGACAATCAACCAGTCGTTCAGGTAAGGGTACACTTGAATTCCCTGGAGCCAGAGATGCACACACACTGGGGCCATGCATTTAATAAAGACTCAAGGAGCAGTAGCCAGTCCAAATGGTAGAACGTTATATTCAAACAGGTCGGAACCAACCGTAAATTGAAGAAGATGCCTGTGAGACGGATGGATGCTGATATGAAAATAGGCATCTTTTAAGTCCAGAGAAGCAAACCAATCCTCTACCCTGAGCAATGGAAGAATGTTTTGAAAGATGGTCATCTGAAACTTTTTAGTTTTGATGAATTTGTTGACACCATGTAAATCCAATATTGGACGAAGACCACTGTCATGTGTAGGAATCGTGAAATATCTCGAGTAGAAACTGTGTAACCCCTCAGAGCATGTAAGTTGTCGGATTGCTCCCTTATGAAGCTGTTGAACTTTGTCTTTGAGAACCGATGACTGAAGTGTAAATCGGATCAGTCCCGATGGGAGTACGGTATCTAACTCAATTCTGTAATCATGCTCCACAATGGATAAAACCCACTGATCAGATGTGATGGACTCCCAAATGGGGAGCTGACTTTGCAGTCAATCCCCAAAAGGAAGAGGGGAGGGTGGATTCAGAAGATGAGAAGAGGCTCGCTCAGCCCATAAGCGCTGGTGTTTATCCGAATCTGGGCAGCGGCAGCTCTGTTGAAAACGCTGTGGTGGTTGCTTTCGGTGCTGCTGACGAGGCTTGAAATTGCTGCCAGTCAGAGAATTGTGTATAGGGTTGATACTGGTATGACGGACAGGACCAAGACCATTTATGTCGAGACTGGTTGGGGACTTCCATCCGACAAGCTGTCACACGCGATTCATGAATTGTTCAGATTAGGTCCATCTGAGCATTGAACAGCCCCGAAGGGCATGTTCTCGATGTGGCGCTTTGTTTCATCCAGAAAGTTGCAATTCCGGAGCCAGGCATGGTGATGGAGGGCTACAGCACCAACGAGGGCCCTTGAGTCGCAATCGACATGGTGTCTCGCCGTGGAGATTTGTTAGACTGCCACCTACATTGCCACTTTGGTAAAAATCCGGGCCAGGTCTCGCTGCTGTTCCGGAAGTGACACTGTGATATTTTCCAGCTTTTGCATAAGAAAATACTGGTAGCGGGCCAGCGTCGCCTCATAATTGGAAATCCGGAGGCTGAGACCTGTGGCAGTGTAAATACGGTGAGCCAACTTGTCAATCTTCCACCCTTCTTTATTGCGAGGAGTGGTATGTTCCTTCGACTTGTGGCCTTGAGACAACTCCATGACGATTGAGTTCGGTCTCAGGTGACACAGGAGGAACGGAATATCCTGTTCACAAACTCAGTACATGGATTCGTAACATCGTGAAGTCGGCTGCGGCTGATTGGGGAAATTCCACAGTTCCATCATCACCTGATGAAGTGTGGTCATAAGTGGCAACAAAAAAAAAAGCAGCAATGATGGCAGCGGATTGTTTGCTTTTGATGATGTTGTAAAACTGATCAGTACTGGGATTGAAGCAGCGCTGGGCTTCAATCTCCAGTGACCTTGTCAATCTCACCATCAATTCCCCAAACGTTGAGTACGACTCCTCCGGTGAGCTGGTACCTTGAGTGGTGATCACCGCATCCAGTGAAGAGGATGCTACTTCCGAGTCCTCCGACTCAGAGTCATAATGGAGAGGAGGACTGGAGGAGTTGTTGGCTGGCGAAGAAGGGCACCTGGACTGAGCTGCGCTAGAAGTCGATGGAACGTCCCTTGGGACCGGAGAGAGAGTACGGTTGCGTACCAAAGGGTAGTACCCATACGGTGCATAGTCGTCCCAAGGTTCACGATGGGCCGATCCATGGGGCACTTGCACCCATTCTTCAGAGGGACGGATAGAGGTAATGCTGCTGGAATCACACCTGCTGAGGCGATGGCTGCGGTGTGGGCGAGTGCGCCATCGGAGGCACCATCTGAGGAGAGTCCCGGATCTCTCCATCAGAGATCGATCCCAATATGGCTGCCTCCTGGTATTCAGGCAAATAGGGGACGGAAGGGTCAACCCACCATGGGGACCCAGGCAAAGTCACCTGCATTGCCAGCTGGAGAGCTGGTCTGGTTGGTGTCGGTACCAAAGCAGCCGTCGGGACTGATGGAGCAGACGAACCCGAATCACGGTGTCAGGGTTGATTGGCTTTCTTGAATATATGCACCGTCTTGTCCACCTTGTCCTTCTTAGGCTTCTTGTGGCCTGAGGACTTGTCCAATCCACTGTGCTTTCTCTTCTCCTTTTGTTTGTGTGGAGATTTAGAGGAGCGCTTACCCTCCGGCAGAGTAGCACCATCAGCTGATGGGCGGGGCAGAGGGGCAGCTGAGAGGAGGGCTGCACAGTGGATTGGCCCGCTAGTTGATCAAACTGAAGCATGGCCTGGTCTCATAAGAGTTTGCGCAGGTGGTTCTCTCGATTTTTCCATGGCTGCTTTGTAAAGGCCTGGCAATGGCTGCATTTATCAGTCCTGTGTTCTTCTCCGAGACAAAGAGGACACAGGTCGTGCAGATCAGTAGGAAACATCTTAGATCCACACTGAGAGCACTTGCGGAAAGCTGCACGTTGAGGCATCGAGAATGAAAAGGAGAACATAGTGAAGCTTAGAATGTGAGAGAGAGTAAAACTTTTTTTGGGAGGGGGGATGTGAAGAAAACTTCTAACAGGGAGGGTAATAACTTGGAATCTTAACAAGAAGCTAAAAGAAACAACAGTTTAAGGGAGAGCGGGATACATGATATAGCTACGAACTGAGAGATGAAAGGCTTGAGGCACAGCGAACAGTGGTCACAAGAAGACTGAGGAAACGGTGGGCACTCCGCCTTCTTATACTGTAGGGGGGGAGGGGTGCAGAGTTCCCACCAAAACTGTTAAGCTTTTAAATCTTCCCAGCTATAGACACTGTGCAGGCGCAGCACCCATATGTGTGATGCACAGAGGCCATGACGAAGAAGGAAAATATACTAATTTTTAAAATAGTGATTAAATAAAAAGGTTTTAACCTGGCATCGAAGAGTATAGGCTTGGCACCAGGCGAACCTCACTGGGGAGCATATTCCATAATCTGGGTGCCACCGCAGAGAAGGTCCTGTTCCGAGTACATGTCCTTTCTACCTCCTTTAGGGAGGGTTCTTGGAGCATGGCCTCCCACTGAACTTAAGGGGTGTGATGGCATACACGGAAGATGTTCCTTCAGGTGTCCTAGTCTCAAGTCATTTATGGCTTTATAGGTCAAAACCAGCACCTTGAATTGGGCCCAGACTTCAACTGGAAGCCAGTGGAGTTAGTAGAGGACTGGCATTATATGAGAATAATGGCCGGTCCCCATCAGCAGTCTGGCCGCTCTATTTTGTACCAGCTGAAATACTTAGACCATTTTCAAGGGCAGCCCCACATAGAGTATGTTACAGTAATCCAACTGGGAAGTTACCAGAGCATGAATCACCATTGCTAGGCAGTGCTCATCAAGGTAAGGATGCAGCTGATGGACCAGCAGAAGCTGTAGGAAAGCACTCCTTGCCACCGCTGCCACCTGGGTTTCCAGTGACAACTGTGGAACAAGGAGTACTCCCAAGCTGCGGACCCTGTCCTTTAGAGGGAGTGCTACCCCGTCCAGGACAAGGTCAAAATCACTTACCGGAAACCTCAATCCGCCCACTAACAGGACTTCTGTCTTATCTGGATTGAGGCTCAGTTTAAACAATACTAATTATTCTGTACCTGTGGTAAAAGCCCAGGTCTGATCTTAACATGAAGTAGTCACTTCAGCCAACTGATTTTAGATGAGATGTGAATTTCATGCTACTGAACAAGCACACCTCTAAGTCAAACAAAAATATCTAAGGCAGTAGTAATTGGATTGAGTCCTCCCAATGAAGGTGAAGCCACAGCTTTCCAGAGGTATCGAGAAGCTGGGCAAGGTAGCACTGGTTTATGCAAATATTCACAGGACAACTCAACTCTGCTTCCACATCTTTTAGCAATTTACAGTTCTAAAACTCAGCAGCAAGCCTACTTGCTCCCATCATAACTCAGAAAATGACCTCTTTCTTGTAGTTATCAAATTCAGTCAATCACTTTTCCAGACATATCAGGTATATAATATTTTAAGAACAGAAGGGCCTTCTTCATGACTGCTTCATATTTATAAAGCTTTTTCATCTCTCTTGAAAATTCTAAGATTCCTATGGGCTCTAGTCAACCTTCTAAAGGATTTTAGCCTAATGTATCACTCTGTCCACAGCCTTCATTAAGAGATACTGTAAAAATATTAATTTATTTATATATGTATTTATATGCCACCTATAACTGCCAAGGCCTTCCTAGGTGGCTATAAAATACTTATATAAAATATAAAAATACATAATTAAAAATAAAGCAATACATTTGTGTGCTTTCTAAGGTAATACATAACAGATACATAAAAACTAATACAGAAAGTAGAATCAATAGGCACAGGTTATTAAAAAAATTAGGATGGCATTAAACAATCCAAGTCATACCTTACAAGAGATTTCTATTAACTCAGGCACTGCATCTCTTAATTTCATAGAAGCCACATGTTCAAACACTTTGAGAAGAACATCTGCAGTTGGCTAAGCAAACAAAAATACCTTCAAGTTAGACCTTAAAGCATTAGGTGTAATGAAGCTATAAATAAAAAGGCAGGTTTCCTTACCTGTAACTATTGTTTTTTGAATGGTCATCTATACATTCACACATGTGGGTTCTGCTCACAAGTGTGGAGCTGTTCTGGGAAGATTTCAAAGTTGGAAGTTTTGGCCAGCCCATAGATAAGTCATAGAGAGTGGCTGTCCTTAGGAGGAAGTTTACTATCACACACTGTGCAACTGTGGAATGGGGCTTTAAGCACCATTGTCCATTTGACAAGGGCGAAGTAAGGGGAAGAAAGAGGCAAGGATAATTATACTATTCTTCTCTCTCTCTCTCTGCTTCTAGAGAGAAGATAAGTGGTGAGAAGAACCTGATAATATAGGAATCAGTAGTAGTCAAGAGACGAACAACTTTGCAAGCTAAGTGGAGGTGGAACTTCCTGACGCACTCACAATGGTGGTTGAAGAACTGAGGTCTCAGTGGGAGGCTGCCTTCATGCTAGGTGTGTCTATGGGCTGGCCTTCCACTGAATACTATTTAATCAGCTTTAGAATCTTCCCATGCAGAGCTCACATTTGTAAAGCAGAGACCACAAAGAATAATGTAAAATACTATTTTACTGTGAAATGAGTTAGCTAGCTCACACCTTCACAGATTCAGAGGGTTGGTGTTTCCCTGAACTGTGATTGCTATTTCTCAGAGACTGGGATCCCCTGCCTGTGTAGTATTATCTACACTAGGGAACTTCAAGATTCAGATAAGATAGCTGTAAGGTAAGTAACCACGTCTCCCCAACATTTACACTGGTTTCAGATACAGGCATTACCATTCTAATGTGTTACCCCAATCATGAAAACAACCATGCTGCCTGGGGACTTCTGAACCAGGCCAAAAATCAAATGGTAATCTCTACCGTTCTAGTGCTATAAGACAACAGTCACAGTCCAGAGAGCTGTTAAGTCAGTAAGAGGTTTCCAGAGGGAGTTTGAAAATATTCACAATATAGATGCACCCATTACCCAAGCTGCAAAAAGAAAGGAGGACACAGTGATCAATCTTCAGCCTTGCAAAGTGCTCAGCTGTTAAGGGAACTATTCCTCCTTTACTATACTACCAAGCTGACAGCAGAGTACCTGAAGGGCTTACTAGGGCACATTCCAGATACTTAAGAGTGGATTACTTAGGTTCAATAGGCTAGCTGATATTTTGGCAAGACTTAGAACTGGGGATGTCTTACTGTAAGAGGAACATACGTACTTGGACAGTGTCATTGGCACTAATATCTATAAAAAGTCTTTAATGTCCCAAATGTTAAAATGTCTTTTAAACCATTACTTTGTGTACATTTTTGCTTGAAATGCCTGGCTGACATCCTTACTGGAAAATGCAACTGGGTCACACATCGCAATGGTTTATTTATTTAGAATATTTGTATGCTGCCTATTGTGCTACAGCACCTCTAGGCAGCTCACAATCAAAATTAAACCTATTAATTATATACTAAAAACAAGACTAAGTTCAGGCTGTCCCTCCTGGTAGACATGAGCTTGCTAACTGTACCAAGGCACTAATATTTTATAAGGGCCATTTTCTACTGAATGGGATATGGACTGCATGTGACTTACAAAGGATCAAGTTTAGCTGCTTATCACAGTGAAAGTAGTACATGTTGCAGGCTAAGTGGTGGTCCAACAGCTGCACATATGAAAGATATAAACAAACTCTAAAGCATAATTGTAGGTCTGAATGTTGTACAAATTCCAACTGTCAACCATAATCTAGTTTAGAGGAGCCCAGTGTCTTGTAGGTTTGCATTACAGACATGCCAAAACTTTCAGCAAACAAAACTGATATTTTATTATGATAAGCATACAGTAAATCATTATATCATGAACCAGAAGGCCTTTTAGGCTATTATCTTATACTTACTTGTCTGGCAGTAAGTCCTATGGAACTCAACTGAACTTGCATAATGCTGTGAAAAATGCAAGGTTACTTACCAATATTTTAATCATTATGCTAGTGTGGATTACATGAAATAGTTCTTTCAGCAAACACGACTGCAGCAAAGATGTTAGCAGGTTATTTAGTATTTCTGAATTCAGGTGCTCCACAGGAATACCTTCTTTGTAGTAATGTGTAAAGATTTGTACTAAAGAAAATGGAAAATTTGTGAGATTTTTAAAATGTTTAGAATAACTTACTAGTGAAATATGAATTAACAGTGATTTTAGAAAAGTGTAAAACAAATGACACAGTAGAAATTCTTTTACTAGAGAACAGTTAGAGTTGTAATCAATACAACACAACTTTTCTCTGCAAGATATGATTTGCTTTGAATTCATGGCATATTGGATGAAAACATAAAAACAATTTAATTGTACAGTAACTGGTCTAGTAAAATATGGATCTGAAAATAATCATATATCTCAAGCTGGGCCACCAAAGAATTAAATGAACATTCAATCTTTGGGCTGCTTTCATATTCACTGGCTCATTTCTTTACCTAAAAGGGGGAAAGGAAGCAGCTAATAAATCATAAACCTCATCAAATTTGCCTTGAATATACAAAAAAATCCACAAACTCCTATTGCAGATTGATGTAGTTTCTCTGCCAGCATAAACTATACCTTGAAGAATGATATCTTTACCCATTGCCAATTTTATTTATTAGACAGGAAAAGCCTTCGTCTCATAAATATGCTCTACTCAAGTTTCCGTTTCCGATATAAAGTATAGCAGCATTAACCAAAAGACCTTCACTAGTTTAAACCATAAGAAAGCCCATTCAAGTTGGAATTTCTCTTCTGTATTATGATTTCTTGATACAGTACAGTCAACTTCAGATACTGGGTACAGTTTTTTGCATCTGTTTGGACTCTACATATTAGCCTCAATAAGTGCAGCAGGATCAACACTCACTGCCAGAAGCCTGATAACTCATTTATCCATACCAGGAACCAGGTTTGGACATTATAATGTTAACAGCCAGATTACTATTAAACACACTAAGGGGCTTGTATTCCACAATAATCCTTGAGCTATTAATGGGATGCATTATGTGGCCTTTTACACATAGTCACTTAAAAATTAGTGTATATGAGGCCTCAAGATCAACATGTTGGTTTGTGTTATGTTGCATATAATCATACCTGCACGCTGCAGCAGAACTACTTCTCCAATACTTATGTATTTCTTAAGTATGTCACTGCAAAGCTAGAAAATCAAACCAGGTAGCTATTATATTTTTCTAAAACATAAGAATCTACAGCATTTTAATTTGTTTATAAACACCAAACTACAGTGAGCATGGCAGAAGAGCAACACATAGACTGCTTTTGTGGGATATGGTTAGGGACGCATGTCATCTGCTCGCATGTAAGGCAGCTTTTTTTTTTTGTACAACAAATTAACCTGGATTTTTATAGGCACTGTTAAAGCCATGATAGGTGGTTGTTTTGTCTGAACCCAGGGAAATGATCCACTGTGGGATGCAAACTTGTAGAACTTGGAAGAGGCAGTAAGCAAGCCGCTTGGCAAATGTAGGAGAAATCTCTTGCAATCTTGGTGGTGATGTCCATGCTGCTGCCAGTGACGGCCACTCCACCAGTGTCTAAGTAGCACTTTGGAAGGACCATCACAGGCTTGCCCCCCCTTTTTTGGTGGTTGTGGTGCTAGCACAAACCTGCACAATTCCATTTGTAGCATTTTTCAATTATCATTTTGCCCAGTCCTTCACAGGTGCACACCTACAAAGAGCTGAAATATGGATCCTTGCCCAGCTAATGTCCTGTTAAGTGTCTGCTGTCCAAGCGCAGTATTGCAACATCCACGAACATCAAGCAAGCAAGGCTCCATATAGGCTGTTCTGTGCACATTGGGCAGCTGTCAATTTGCTACCTGTCTGTTTAAAAGCAAAGTGGCAAAGGATTTTTTCCCCCAAAGGGGTGCAACACATCTCCCACTTTCGGTTGAGAGTCTCTTGTTCTTTCAGCATTGTCAACTACTTTCATTTCCCTCAATTGTTTGCACCTTTACTCTAGGCCCCATGGAAAGGGGACACCTCCTTTTTCCTGTATTCTTTTTGCATGCACTTTTTTCCTGGATACATTTAACAGATGACACATAGATCTCACAGTTACCAAGGGTATACAAAGCAACCTATACGCAGCCTTGCTTGCTCAACATCCGTGGATATTGCCTACTGCATTTTGACAACCAACACTGGCTAGATAAAGATTACCATTTCAGTCCCCTGTAGGGTACACACTTGCAAAGGAACAGGAAATAGAAATAATAAAAATGCAAATACAAACAAAACGGTAAACAGTTGTGCTGCCCTTCAAAATAAAAATGCACCTCTGTTTAGTAGGTATTTGAATTTATGTTGCATAGAGAGAATAGCCACTCTGGAATTATAGATGTGTTTTACTGCTATATTCATTAGGAAAAAAGCCCACCACAGACAACTGCCTGAGTGTTTTTATTATTACGCTTCCTTCTGATTATAGTGGATTCATAAAGCCCATTACTGCAATGTTCCAAGTTATTTCTAAAATGTACCAGGCACCATTCAACTGCCACGTTCGACCTCTAGAACCCACAATAATTTAGAATCTGCATGGCCAAGGGTCTCCATGAGGGCTAAAGGTACACTAGTATACCTTTATCTAATTTGGGGTGGCCAAATTAAGGCTTAGGAGCCACATGTGACTGAGTGTATTTTGTGGCTTGCCGCCCATGGGCACCCACTTGTAACTCTCAAAGATCTGACATTTACCATATGTAGCACTTCTGCTGAACAAGTCTGGCCACACCAGTTTGGTGCACACAACCTCTGAATTAAAACCATACTGTGATGGTTCAACAAGGATGAATTACATACTTGATTTCTGTACATTTGGCTACTGGATGTGAGAGAGAGGAACATGGATGTGAGAGAGAAATACTGTCAGATCATTCCACAATTAATGAAAATCTTATTCTGAAGATCCAGTCAAGCCATTGCATCTAGTACCCTTTTGTAGGTTAATGTAAATCAAATACTGTATACAGACAAAAAACATATTGTTTTTACCTTTTCATTCCCTAATACAGGAAAATGCGAATACCAGCAATCTGGTCTCTCACAACCATTCAATGTATTGAAATGTGATCTACAGTATCCACGAGGTAGATAAGGCAATCCTAAATTAGTCTGCAAAATAACCCAAGAGGATAATCATTTTTTTTCACCTCAGAATTCTTATTTGAAAATCTTTCATCTTCATACTTCAAATCTCTCCAGCAGTATCTTTAGGGACTAACATGCATTAAAAGAGATGAAAAATGCTAGACATAACTGCAGTAAGTTTTATTTTTACAACACTGGATAAAGGGATCAGAACATAATATAACAAGTATAAAAAGCTTTAGAAGAAACTAAGTTTACCAACTAACTTGCCTTGGAATTGCTGTTCAATAATGCAGCTCACAAGTTACCAGAAACCAAGAAAACAGTAGTAAAGAAAATCATCCTAGGCCTCAAGCATTCTAACAGGATGAGTAAGAATGAGTCAGAGAATCCCATCCTGCAGTCTCCAGCAGTGAACATCACCAGACCAGGGAGGGTACACTTCATTAATTGTGGAAAATAAACTTATCACAAGTTCAATGTACTGTTTTTTCTACAATGTATAAGTGGCTATCCTTATATGTGAAGGCCAAAAGAGGACCTAGCTCAAGGGAGAATCCCTTGCAGTGCTGAGGGAGACCTCTTTAGGGAAAGCATTCCAAATGTGGAGCCCAGCAAAGGAAAAGCCCACTCAAGAGTACCCAACCCAGCATGTGGACAAACTTGCACCTCTGATCACCAAATCAAAGGTTTAACACCAAAGATTCTTTACCCTGTCAAGCCTCTGGGGTGAGGGGGGGGGTGCATCCTAGAGTTTTCCATCCCTGCTACATGCAGAAGTTGGTATTTGGGTTGACAGTGAAGTTGCTCCTGCAGGAGATCATTCACTCACTAAAGTGTGACGCCCAGGGCAAAATCTGTGTGCGTACATGCATTCCAGGAACAGAGATGTTCAAACTTCAAGTGGACAGTACTGGAAAAAACCCACTTCCCATTCCATTTCTTTCAATGGATACAACCATGGCTACAGGTAACTTCTTGTTTGGATTACTGCAAAGTGTTATACATGGAACTACCTTTGAAAAATGATCCAAAGAGAGAAGCCAGATTGGCCAATATGATCATATATGTCAATGCTCTACGAACTGCAGATTGCCAGTACATTCCAGGAACAAATTTAAAGTGCTTACAAAACTTTAAACTTACAAAACCCTCAATGGCTTGGGACAGGCTGCCTAAAGGAACATATACCTGGACACTAAGAGCATCCTTAGAGGCTTTTTCTCCAGGTGATTCAGCCATCTGAGGAGAGATTGGTGGTTAACTAAGAAAAGGTGGTGGCGCTGCAGCTGGACAATGACTTGCCAAGAAAGGCTCACCTGCTGCCTCATGTGGTGATATTTCCGGTACCTGAGGACTTTTTCCCATTTCCCCAGGCTTTTTAGGTGTAGAGTTTAAAAGATCACATTAGTATATTCTTAGATCTTCGTATTACTGCTGGTCTTTATCTTGGTTATAATTTCTTTGATTCCTTTTACTACACTGTTGTATTTATTGTTTTGAGTTTTGTCATGTAAACTGCCCAGAGAGCTTCCATTAATATTTGAAATCCATATTTTGATTCCTTTCCCCCTTTTTGCTGTTCACTGTTCGGAAATTTTGTAAAATACAGAATATATTAACCATGTAAATAAATAGCATCCCAACACCATGTTTACTTAAAAGCTTGCTCATGTTCTATTCAGAAGCCAGCAGGACGAGCCTCTGCAGGACCAAGCTCAGATGGAAACAAGACCGAATTACTCTTCTGCCTCTTCTACTCCTGTTTCCTCTTTCCTTTCCAGGGGTGAGGGAAATACCTCTATCCCCAATGAACAGTTGACTAGAGGGAAAGCTCCTATCTCTGATCAACAAGTGCTTCCCAAGGTGAAAAGGGGAACCTTTTCTGTGCTATTGAGGAAAAAGCACCTGTTCCCAAGATAAGAACTTTCTTTCCCTGCCAGAAGGGAAAGGGAAGCTGAAGTAGATGCTGGGCTGAATGGGGAATCACTGTGGTCCTTATCAGGTCCACACACCAGAGATTCCCCATTCCAGCTATTAGCCATTTGGCCCTCTTTCCAAGAGTCTGGAACTAAGAAACCCTCTCTCTAGCTACTCAAGAAACACTCTGTATGTTAAGCTTGTACTTTGAAGACTTACCACTGTATTTCTCTCTATTTTCCAAGATTCAAAACCATTAGAGTATGATGAAGGCAACTGAGGACCTTTCTTGGAGAATCTGTAATCTAATGAAGATGAAAATACTGCTGAACAGAATAAAATGAGCATTTGGCACAATTATACCTAAATCTAAATTCACTACAATGTTAAAAAAATATTTTTTCACCCTATCCGGCCTTGCTCCAGAGATGATTTGACAACTGTCCTTTTTTATTCCTTTCAGATTGACATTTTAATTCTCTTCAAGTACTGTGAGTGATAGAAACCATTAAAAATGAAAGCTGAAATTCTCAGGCTAATGCCACACTGGAAAATAAGCTTGTCATTTTCAAAATGAATGTGACTACAGCAAATAAGGGACTCTTAAATTTAACACAAGGCAATTTGTTTACAGCACTCTCACATCTACACAGGACAGTGCCTACTTTTTTTTTATTCACACACATGACTTTGTAGGTATACATTTTGTCAGAAATGCCATGTATTACACTCATTTCCTAGACTTTTGCATGTGTTTGGAAAGACTTATATAAACTGTTCTTTGTTATTCTGCTAAACAGCTTTACAACAAACCGAGGGGAGTATGTTTTCCAAAGGGCTAAAGGGATTTAACAGTCACTTCACTTGAATTCATATTCTAAGCAATACCTTCACTGCAGCAACAATATTTATTACAGACACAGCAGTGTTTAAGCTTCTAGTTCCACAACTACATTCCTAGGGATGTAATACCACTACTTTAGTGAACTGAATGAGCACAAGTGACAGGAATAGTTCACTTTTAATGATGAGGTTCTGTAACTTCTAAAGTCTCAGAAGGGTGAAGGGGTACAAACAGCAGTTATGGTACTACCATCAGTAATCTGGTCTGACTTCAAGGCTGAGAACCTGTGCGAATTAAGTTCCATTTAAGAGCCAGTATGATACTGCAGTTAGAGGGTCGGTCTGGGGATTTGGAGGATCCAGGTTCTAGTTCCCAGTCATCCCTGCAGCTCACTGCATGACTTTGGGAAGTCATGGATTCTCAGTCTAACCTACTTCAGAGGGTTCTTGTTGTGAGAATAAAAATTGAGTGCAGAACTATGTAAGCTTCCTTGGATTCCTTGCAAAAGGAAAATTCAGTGTAGCAACAATGAAAACAACAATGACAATAACACAAGTTAATGCTGTGGAATCCAAACATACTGGTTCAGAGAACAGTACATTTGGTATATCATCTAGAGCTCTGGATTCCAGATTACCTAGGATCTGGCTTACAACACTGCTTTACATGGATACATTTCTCAAAATGTCATATGATTAAGAAATATGAATTTTTCTAACCGCTCTACATGCTCAGTGGGATGTTGTTCCCTGCACAGCTACTGAACTACCAGATCAAACTGTATCTGAAACGTCCTTTAGCTTCTTGTGTGGTGCTCAGTGGATGGAGGTGGGGGAGAGACTTCTACAACTCCAAGTCTTCCTTGGGTATACTTGGAACTAACTACAAGATTCTTTATGGCATTTCCAGTTACATTAAAATACCCCTTAACTACATAATCTAATTATACTTAATTATGTATCTGTTCAGTAATTTAGCCCACCAACTTCTCCAGCTTTCATTAATCTCAACTTCCATACTATTTTGATCAGATAGTTACTTCTGAAAAAAGGGAAGTTGTTAGCTGAATTCAGATTTCTAAGGTAGAACTTAGTACAATGACACTAAAGTCTCCATATTTGGATACAAAATGTACTACTAAGTTGAAATTGAGTGTTTACTGAATCACCATTCTTTTATTTATAGGTTTCTTATTAACTTCCACAAATACAAATTAATATCCCCAACAAATATGTACACACTTAGACGAAACACAGAATAGCCATCTAAATGGCTGTGGGATCATATGTTCCTGCCTTTCCCAGTATGTCATCCAAATAGTGGGATAATGGTAAGCGATCTACTGTTGCATCTGAATTGTACAAAGTATGGTTACCACTTAGATTAGTATCAGAGCCCCACTTCAAACTATGGTTTCCAACTGTAGTTTATGGGTGAACTATGTTTAGTATTAACCATCATTTGCCAAGTTCAGGCATCATAAAACTGTTATTATGAACCAGAAAATGGAGAAGGAAGTCATTATATATGGTTCAACACAATGCATATTCCTAATGCCCAAACACTGCCAAACCAAGTGTTTACATTAATACATAAAAGAAGCGCTATGGCAAATAAATAAAATATTCAGGTATTATTAATACAATACCATTTGTCCATGGTTTCACTGATACATCTTGCTGTGGGGAAGCAGTTGCTGTATTAGCAGGAAGCAGCAATTTCAGTTGATGGTCACAGTTTGCAGGTAAAATATACTGTGCATTCTCACTAAATTCCAAGCTGAACAAACAGAGAAAATGTTTATCCATCAGTGGGAGTTTTCTACTGCACTGAATATATCTGCAAAACAGCACCTTCAACCCAGAGGTATCATGCAGCAGATACCTCCAAAACAATTTAAATGAAAACAGAACTCTCCCCCTCAAAAAAACAAAACTAAACTAAAAGGGCAATCAAAATAGTGTAAAAATATGACAGAGAACTAATGAGACAACAGTGTTCAAAGAATACCTGAGGGGACAGGTGGGAACTTGCTAGGGACATGTGCAATGGGGCAATGCATGAGGGATCTGGGAACTAAACCTCTCAGCTACAGAAATTATTATTATTATTATTATTATTATTATTATTATTACATTTCTATGCCGCCCCTTGCCGAAGGTCTGAGCAGGTACAAAGCTCACAAGTGATGCAAAGACCACAAAGAACAGGCAGTTCTCTCCACGACTAAAGTATGAGAATGCAAATAGGGGATCTGTACAAAAGCATACTTCCTAAAATGTGCATATGCATACTTCTGGAAATGCACATTTTCATAATGAAATGTAATTTTCAGAAATGTTCACAATTTCCCAGGAATTACATTCCTACTCACATTAGCATTTGGGGTTGCGAACAGAGCATGTTTGAATAGCTGTCAATAGGAACAAAGTTCTCATACACTGCTACTACACAGGCACTGCAGAGAACAAGTCCAGTATAAAAAATTAATCTCAACTGCTTACGCAATGTACCCCATTGCTACTGAGTTACTGCATTAGGAAAGAGGAGATCACAGAGTACAGCTCCCAGAAGTGGCGGTGGGGGACTGCTGCTTCCCTCTATTGTTATATGCATGGGAAATCTGAGTTTCATTATTTATGGGGGTTTTTTTGGAGTGAGGTAAGCTAATGAAATCCAGCTCAGTTTCGCCTATTCATCAAACTCAAGAGAGAAGCAGTCAAGGTGACATGATAGCATTCTACAGATACCTCAAAAGCTGTCACAAAGGAGGAAGAAGAGACCTATTCTCACTCATCCCAGATTGTAGAACATGGAACAATGAACTTAAACTACAGTATACCAGGTGCAAGCTCGACACAATAAAGAATGTCTTAACTGTAAGAGCAATACTAGTGGAACTAGTTATCAAGAGAGGTTTTGTGCTCTCCCACCCTAGAGGCTTTCAAGAAGCAAGACAGTTATCTGAGCAGGATGGTGTAACTGGTGATTTGCACCAGCAGGTGGTTGGACTTGATGGCCTTCTTGGCCCCTTCTGACCCTATTCTATGATGTCTCAAATCAGTAACTGACTGGAAAAGTCCTTAATCTGAAGCTTACAAAGTTAACCAGTTCTAGTTGTGGTTAAATCCTGCTGTTCTCTTGATGTCTAATTAGCATCTGTGGTTCAAGGTGTCTTTCAACTGCTGAAAGACTGTTTCAGCTGCTGGTGTATCAAATGAAACCCCCAGAACAGTACAACTTGCCAGTTATAGCCAGATTATATTAGTGCAATGTATCACACACAGGGGTTCCTTTGAAGACTCAACAAACTTCAACTCGTTTAAAATTCAACATCTTTGATTACACATTAGAACTAGCCAACTAGATTATCTCACCACTTTTAACACAACTACATACTGTCCCGGTTCCTTCTTCAGAACAACTCAAAATTCTAGCTTTAACCATTAAAGCAATATACAAGCTTGAGATCTGGGTATCTAAAGGATGGCCTGGTTTTTATGGTAGTCTCCCTGCCCACCAGAAGGTAGATGGCTGGCAAATAGGGGAAGGTTCTTGTAAGCTGTGGTACCAATCCTAAGAATATTCTCTTAAAGAGGCTAGACTTTAGAGGTTCAGGCCAATCATATAATCTTTGCTATTTCTATCTAATACTGACCTTAAAAACAAAAGAAAACAAAACAAAGCAAGCTGGAAAAAACTGAGAAAAAGATAATCTTACTTTCTTTACTTAATTGGGCTTATTTTAACATTACTATTTGAATACATACGTTACTGCAATGCCCTGAACATTTGTTGTTTCTTCTTTAATGGCAAGCATTTTCTCTGACAATTTGTACTGTAAAATGAAGGACAACTCAGTTAAAATAAAAACTCATGTTTCCATTTTATGACATAGTCTTCTTGTTCACAAAATATTCTACAGGAATAACAAGAATGGTTGACCAGGTAGGCAAGTTCTGGGAGCTGATGGCTGACAGAGTCATGCTCCTCCCTGTTCAGAAATATGATTTTACTTTAAAACAAGACCTGTGCCCTTACATGTTTTAAGGAGAAATCAGTGCCTCTCTGTGGGTGGTACTGAATTTTGCTACCAAATTTGGCACTGGGGTTGCATAAAAAGTTTGGGGTGATTATGGCCCATGGATATGTTGCCCATTCATTATAGATTATTTACTTCTAATCAAAAGCAACAACAGTGTTTACCAAAACTTTACTCAAAACAAAGAGATTCCATAGCCACCCTATTTAGCTCACTGCATCACTGAACAGTTATTATAAATTAGATATGTTTCTTAGCTTAATTTCCTAATCTGTGAGCTCTGTTTAATTTTGATTGATCATTTTTTGCCAATGTAAATTTTTTAAGACCCATGAAGAAAAAATTAAGGAACCATGCTAGATTTGCTTCAATAAAGGGTTTCCAGCTTATCACATATTGAATGTATTACAACAAAGATTTCCAATACTGCAATCTTTACTCCGATTCAGAAGTAAGCCCCCGTGTTTTCAATGGGACTTATTCTAGGTAAGTTTAACACCTACTTGGAAGTTAGTGATCACAATAGGACTTGCTTACAAACATGCATTGGATTGTGCTGCTAATGCTACTCATTACACAGAAAAATAAGTCCCCTCACATATGTTGCGTACTGTAACATTACCTTTTATACAAAAAACTCAATTCACTTAATTACCTTTCTATCTATGTCAGAGCTCTTTATAAGATCATCTGATTCTGTTAGCTGTCCATCCTCAAGAGATGACTCTGCTGTACCTCCTATAGAACTGATTCCACTAAGGAACTCTGATTTAATTTCATCAGCTGGAAGAATAAGGCAAGATGAATAACTGAATTATATTAAGAATGGAATGTTTAATTGGGAAATTGAGCATATCATTGCCATGGCTATTTAGAAAGTGTTAATTCCTTACAAAATAATTCTTGTCTGAAACACAAAATTCCTATGCTGGACTAAATGGCAACAGATACAGCTTCATGATTAAATATATTATCAAGGATAGTAGTTTCTTGTGTTCCAAACCATGAAACAACTGCAATTATCACATTAATAGGCTGATGCATAGCTCAATTTATGACTTAATATAAAATGCACAATAACTAGTCTCTATGAAATATTTCTGTATTTTTGAAAAAGTTGCCTTAAAATAGTAAGAAATATTGTGAGTACCATGTGGAACAATTGGTTGTTTCAGCTACCTATATTTAAAGGGGAAAATAAGTATTTAACTTTATTATGAATGTAGCAGGACTCTGTGCTATCTTGCCTCTCAATCAGACACGGTATTTTAGAAGGATTCAGTTAAGTGTATTACTAGAATGAGGCAAGCTGCACAAAGATAGGTGTACAGCACAGCTCCTGCAAAGAGTTAATGTGCATCAGTCCCTGCACAGCAATTTCTTATTTGGTTCCTCCTTTTCTGCACTCAAGACAGTAGAAAGACCAGAGTCAGGCACTCAGACCACCCAGGCAACGAATAAATATGAGAAGAGTTCAACTCTCCTCACCAATATGCTCCATTTGGCCTTTGACTGAAACATGATCCAGTTGTATAGATGGGTTGAAGTAAGTATCAGTTTAAACAAGCCAGTCTGCCACAAACATGGTTTAAACAAGCAGGTCTGCCACAGGTCTGCTTGTTTCAGACCTTCCAGAAAAAGGAGAGCAAATTAACCATAGTTTTCCAAAATACAGGTTAACCTTTATTGGCTTAGTTTAGGAGACATAAGGCCAGCTTTAATCCTAAACCAAGCTAACTGCTAATCATTTTGGTTGTTTAACCATCAATTAATCCCTAACTTCTGGATACAGAAATTACAAAGCATATTCAAAATAGCAGCAGCACATGCCAAGTAACATAGCTACAAATATAAGGGTTAATTACCCATGATCTGCCATTGGCACATGCAAAAAGGGCTAGTGTTTGAGGTGCTATGTTGTTACAAAATGGGTTATTATACTTTTAACGACAAGACTTTTAACAGCAGCTTGTTTGCCTTTAATTCAAACCTAGTTTTTGAATCACTTCAACAGCACTGCTGTTATTTCTTAATCCACCAGAAATTATCAGTAAAACACACATTGAAAAGGTTAGAGATGAAAGGGGCATAATTCTGCTGCTATAAAGACAACCAAATTCCACAAATGTCTTTTGTTTAGAGGGTACTCCATCACTTAGTGCCTAGAATTTAGGAAAAACCAAGTAGAACACACACACACACTTGGGATTGTGTACTAAAAGCAATTTAGAATCTGGTCCTCTCAGATTTTATTAGTTCTTGTTACTCCTGTTCTTACCTTCTATCAATGAAACCTCAGCATCTATGACAGATTTCATTGTTTCATAATCTTGATTTGGACTCTCTCTATAAACAAGTAGATTTTACAAAGTTTAGATAAGGAATTTCTAAATGAAAAAATCCATACATTCTTGATAAAGTGTAGAAAGTATAGTACATAATTTCCCTGTGCTGCATCCACCCTCAACAGTTTGACTCTCAAGCTTCACGCCTTTGTATTTCACTGGTCCTCTGGGGACCTTGGGTGGGGACCTCCAGCTTCAATAGTTAGAACAAATATACCTCAGCTTCACAACTGAAAAATCCAGCTACGAGGAGGATATTTTGCAGAACTAGAAGCATACTGCAATGATGAAAAGTTTTGATGTGCCCGATTATTGCGCTTTTGAATACTTTTTTGGATTCACAATTTGACAGAACACAAGAACCTATTATTATGGTTACTGCCGCCAGATTACTAAGCGCTAAAAATGGGAAAGGTATAGATTTAATCAACATTGTTGACTGGTATAATGAAATGTGGAACTTAGCCATTAATGACAAATTAACATGTGATTTGAAAATTAGGAGAGGGGAAAGGAAAATAAATGATTTTACAAGCATATGGATTTTTTTACTGTATGTATTAGAGAAATATAAAGGGAAATATCCAGCTAAAGATTTGCTGCATTTTTGGAGAGACATGGGGTATATCGGCGATCTTTTGTAAGCTTTACTCCTGAGGGTGATGGGAGCACTATGTTGTTATGTATAGTTTTAGTTTATGTATATTTTAACCTATATTGTTATGTTTTAGTCTATGTATTATGTAATTTATGTTATTTGTATAATTTTGTTACGTAGTTTTTGTAAATAAAATTATATATATATTTTAAAAAGAAGCATACTGTGACCCTTCTAAGACTGTATATGGTATTAGGTGCCAAATTGCACACAAAAGGTCAAAAAATGAGAAGTGAGCAGCTAACCAAAAAGCGAAACCTAGACAAGGACGAGTGCTGAAAACATCTTATCCTGAACCTGAAAGGGAAAAGAATGGAGAAACAGATCAAGGGTAATTTTTCCAAGCTGCTACAATGCTGTAGATGGTCTCAAAAGTTATTTGGAACTCCTGAGGCAAAGATTTTTACTAGTAAAAGATCTAAGAGGTTACAGTTCTTCTGAAGAGTTGTTCTGCCCCAGTCACAAAGCGTGAGTAACAATGTCCTGTACTTTTCCTAAGCAAAAAGGTGGTATCACTATCATTGTTGCATTTGTGCTCCTTTTCACCTAGTTCTACTTTATTTACAGGGTGAGACTCACTGCTTTATTTTTTTGCTGTCATATAGCCAATTTTCACTGACTATTTCAAAAGAAAATGTTTTCAAGCATGCATAAAAGATATGGATACTGCTTACACTTCTCTGCTCACTTATTTAAACCAGGTGCAAGTTTTCATGAATCTGATCTATACAGTTGAGGTTTTAGAACCAAGTCTTGATCACAGTTCTGACCCTCTATCTTACAGCTGCAAGCATATTTTAAAATACTAAAATACATTTGAGGACGATGAGTCAAACTGTGCCTAAAGTTGCAAAAGGTCACAATTTTGCCATTCTAATTTGAAGGCTGAGGCGTACATGCAAATGATAACAAATGTTAAGTTTGAAACTTAGGGAAGAGATCATCCCATTTAATTGGATAACAGTATTTTAGAACCATCTTTGTTACTTTGTGTTAATTCATTGTTGTGTTTATTACATTATTGGTAGAATAAAACTAGACAAATATATCATCACTCAGTTAAAAGTTATTTTCTGAAATACTATAAATATTATAGTACTATAGTAAAGTTCTGCTATTTTAAAGATGCACATAAACTTTGTTTTTAAGGGGTATTTCATCCTCACTGCTTATTTCAAGGTGGATAATTTACTTGTCTCAAAACTGCTAGACATTCTAAATACATCCTCCCAAAAGGATTGCAACTTCATAGCGTTCTGAGAGTTCTAACAGCTCTAAGAGTATACAAAAGCAGTAAATAAAGATTACAATAAAATATAAGCAGTTATGAAAAGTATCAGACTTGGAGGTATTAAAGCTCAGCTGCCCTTTTACAACTGCTTACATAATTAATATGTTATAGATGGCACTGAGATTGTCCCCCCTTTCCATTTTGCAGTATTCTAGTGACCTACACATGCTAAGATGAAAAAAGTGGTATGAAATAAATGCAGATACAATAGATTTTTTACATTACCCTAACATTTCCACAAGTACATTCACAAGTCTGAGTACTGGTTAAGTAACAGGAACATTATTGTAAATAAGCTTTAGAAGAAATCAAGTATTTAAGAGCTTTAATACACCTAACAAAGTACTTCTAAATATTGCATACAGTACTTCTGGGAACTATTTAAAAAATAAGGTTGCAACTCCATGCATGCACAGACAGAAAAATGTTTGGAGAATAGCAGATGGAGAATGCTAGGAGTCATTGGACTATTTTCTGTCTAAACATGCATCGCCTTATGTCCTAAATTAATTATAGGCTATTGCTACCACTTAAATTTCTAAAAGGCCTGTTTTCCTCCTAAATTTGCTCCCAAGTGTGATATGCTTCATCTTCCCCCTTTAACCATCTCTTTGATAAACTAGGTTTCCACATTTATCTTTAGGTTAATATCTGGTGCCTAAAAGCAATAAAGTAGAAAACCCCCAGCTCCCATGGATCCCACCCATGATTTATAACTTCAAATTCTAACCTGAGTATGTTTCAGAGCTGAAGAATCTTAGGCCTACAGGCTGAATATGGTGCATAGGAGCCCCAACCTTGCTACTTTTATTTCCAATCAGTTAGATAGGTAAGGGATCTCTTCCCCTTGATCCTACATTACAATAATGCCTTTTAAAAGCTTCTATTAATGCCAATGGAGATATTTAAAACCAAACTGCCACAGTGTATCACAACAAAGGAGTGAAAGGATGACCTTCCCCAAGCTGTAACAGCCCCTCAGGGGAAGGGGCCTGGACAATCATTTTTGGGACTACGTGAGTAGTAACATGGTCCTGTGCACTGCTGGTTTGTGGCCTCTGACCTGCTTGTCCAGAACCTATTCAGCCCCCGGCCCAAAAGGTTCTCCATTCCTTTAAGGAATTCTCGACTATTACCGTCTGACACTATCTATAAACTCCCAAATATTCAGTGAATTGGACTATGCTTTATACACTTATCCTTTAGTTAGTTTTAATGATACCAGATATACAAGTATTTCAAGAGAACATGCCTACCTAGAATAGCATTTCAAATGTTTGCTCCTTGGAAGCTGAGGAAATTCTGGTTCTAACTCTAGCTTTTCTTTGGAGAAAATGTTGGTATTAACATTTTTAGTACACAGCTTATTTACATTTGCAGCTTCTTGTTCATCAATGTCACCGAACAGATCAGGATCATCCGGAATTACATCAATCACAAGAACATCCTCTTCATAAGCCTTAAGAACATCTGTACAGAAGTTAACTTTGTCCTTTGTACAGTTATTGGTGTAATTACTTTCAGCATTAGTTTCTAATGGTAGCATTTGCTTCTCTATATGTCCAGTACTCAAAGAGCCAGACCTATCTTCCAAAGTTGACAGCTCCAGTTCATTCTCATGGGAAATTCCCACACCCTTATTACAAACACTTTTCTCTTTAGAAAGTCTATCAGGAACATCATTGAGATGGTCTGCATAGTCCTCCGGAATGTTAGTATCATTAAACTGTTCAGAGTGGAAATGATGCTTAGATTTTACACAAGATGAAGTCTCTTTAGTTCTGACTTTCTTTACAGAAGCCATAGAATCATCTAGCATGTTCAAAGGACTGCAAGTATCCCTTTCCGATAATCTAGTGTAATCTAGTTTTCGTGATTCATTTTTATCCTTCAGTAAAGGTATTTTGAAGTTCGGCAAGTTCCCTGTGATTAATGTCTTCAATAGTAGTTCCTGTTCAGCTATAGAGGTCTTCTGATAGTTTATCTTGTTTCTTCTGCTATCTGCAAATGCACCATTCTGAGTATCTATGGAAGTAGTCCTGTTTGTTATATTTCCTTTTTTTTTAGCATCTTTCACTAGTGAATTTGAAGCTACTTTTGATTTCTTCACTGTTTTATTACTAGATGTACACTGTTTAGGTATTTCCCTATGCATAGAGGAAAAACTGTTCTCACTAGCAATAGCTGAGGGAGCCTTGTATGTATGAGATAGAGTTATTGAATTTGGGCTTTCATTAGAAGAAACTGCTGTATGATCCATTAAAGTAATTGCAGAAGTTTTACTAGTACCTGTCAATGGCTTAGGTTGCTGCCCAGAGTTAACTACCAAATCAGTACCTCTTAAAAATTCTGAGTCAGATACATGATTTTTATCAACCCACAAAGTAGTTCTGGCACATGAGTCACGTGGCCAAACTTTTTTACCAGAAATTGGGACTGCTCTTTGACAGCTATATAGCTGCAATTTTCTCACAACACTACCTACTTCTTTTTCTTTAGGTGTTCTTTTTCCTCTGTTCATACAGCCAGCAACATCACTGTTGCAGCTAATAATTGTTTCACTCACCACTGTCTCCATTATGGAATCACTGTCACCTACTTCATTGCTAAAGTGAATTTGCGGCTCTATGTGCTTTAATTCTAGGGCATTTTTTGGGAGAACGTTAGATTTTTGAAAGCCAGCAGCATTGCATGTGACAAAGTGTACTGCACTCACCTTTTCATTGCTAGACAAATTGAAAAGCTGTTTTTGAGAAGGCTGCTCTGGAATGAAATCAGATGTATGGGCAAGTAAAGCTAAAGAAGTCAATTCACTATAATTTATTGTTTCCAAAGTTGTTGAAGAATCTGCCATGGCAGGTTTATCTTCAATTTGTAGCCCACATTTGTTGTTTATAGTCAAATTGGAGAGAATTTCCTGAACTGTTGATTCTTCTAGGTCTGTTGACATTTTTGTCTTTTTGCTTGAATTTTTCAAGTTCACACACCACTTAATTTCCTTGAATTGCTTCCTGCTTTGACATCTTGAATTCTTAGTATTTTGGCACATTCCCTTTTCAACCAAAATGCTTCTTTTTGGAAATTCAGGTTGCATTATGTTAGGGCCACTACTCATATCATTCTGTCCCATACCTGTACTGGAAGAAAGACTCTTCCCTTGACCAAGTGTAAAATGCAGGGATCCACAATGAACTTTATAGCTTTGAATTGTCTTGACACTTGTAGAATTTAACAGTGCTTTAATATGATAGCAGTCAAGCAATCTCACTACTGGAATTCTTTCTATTCTATAGGGAAAGACATTATGCATAGTAAACCATTGAGGTTTTTCATCATGGTGTACTTCCAGTGTACTATTTTCCACTTTCTTTTCAGTTTTTATATCCAAAAGCTGTGAAATAGGAAAAGGGGAAGTGTTGCAATAGACTTCAGTCTTTCTCTGAAAACAAAGACTAACAGGATCGTTGTTATCAGTCTCATCGGATTGAGATATTGGAAGACAATCAATCTGTTCTAGCAGATTCTGTCTACTGCCATTTTGAGAAGTGCTCAAATCAGTCTCTAGCAGCTTTCCATGCAGCACACTTGAAATTTCAGATGGTTGTCCTGATTAAACAAACAAAATATAACCATGTAACTAATGTGTAAAGTAACTCCAGTAAACAAGGCAATACGTCCCTATAAAATATATTTATATTTTCATACATGCATTTCATAAAGGTGTCCTTAAAAATCAGAACTGCAATAATGGCTAGCATAGGAAGTGGTATTATAAATATAAACACAAGTTCTGAAACACTATGGTTGACATTGGTTAATATAGCAATACACTTACAAATAACTTTTTTTAGTCCATTAAAACATTTTAAAGCAGTTCTTCCTAGTACTCATCCAAGATTTTTATGTCCTGTTAAGAGATTACTTTTAAAGCCTGACTTAACAGTCTGTGTCTTGCAAGAATTTTGCTTTTAAGTGTTTCAGCAAGAATTACAAGGGTGTCTAGTTTGTACTCTGTATTTCTGCAAGTTTACCATGTTTATATTAAATCTGAAAAGCTAGTGAAGTTTACTGACTCGAGCCATCAAGAAATAAAGGCCAGGAAAACAGATGCCCAAGTGTAAAAGCATAACAAACAAATATACAAAATAAGAATGAGTAAGCATCCTTACTAGGTATTTTGATCTCTTTAAGTTCAGTTGTAGTCACAATTTTATGCTTTCCACCTGATGGTTTCTTTCTAGTACCCCTAACTCTGGTAACTAACAGATCCTCTCTGGGGACACAATACACCATTTGTTCTGTAGCCAATTTTTTGTTAAAGATCCTGTGCCTACACTCAGTAATCTCACTAACAGCTTCCTCTGGCCTCCAGATCAACTTCTCACTATCACCTTTACCTATCTTTGATTTCAAAAAAGCTCTGGTTACCATCCTATACCTTCCTTCTTCTACAGTGCTTCTACACTCTGTAAGTTCTGCAACATTTGTTACATGCTTTGGTAAGCAGTGACTTTTCTGTTCTGCAGCATCTACATCTTCCTGCAATTTTGTCAGTGCCACAGGAGAGTTTTCTCTTTTTCTCTTCTGTGCCTGAGGTTTTTCAGACCTTATCCTGCAGCTCTTCACTGGACTCTCTGATCCTTCCACAAGATTACTACTTGGAAGGTGTGGCACAGAGGATGACTTCACCTTCACTGAGCTCTTTGCATCTTTCCCAGGACTCTGTTGCTGAGATTCATAGCAACCAATACCCCTTCCTTCTTTACTTTCAGAAAGGTTTAAGCTTAGTATGTCAGACCCTAAGTTAGAAATACACTTTCTCTTTGTACTTCTAACTTTTTGTTTAGATTCTAGCAAGAAACTTGAGCAACTTTTCTCTGGAACCGTATCCTTTTTATGGGACCCCACCTCCATTGAGGTGCTACTTCCTTTCTTTCTAACCTATGATGCTAACTTACTTGGCAAAACTAGTCTAGAAGCAACATCATGATTCTGTTCCCGCACTCTAGACAGTAGTCTTAGATTTTCATAAGAACTTCCACCTCTTCTAGTTTCATGTCTACAACATTACAGCCCACTATCACTGTACCCCCTTTCCCACCCTCCCTTCTATTATACAGCAGTCTCTAGTTTCTTCGTCGCTTTTCCTTTAAGGGTACTTCAGAAGGAGTAAGTTGTTTGCTTAAATTAGTAGGTTTCCCCAAAAATGACAAAAAATGAAGCTATTTTTGAGAGCTAGCTATACTGACTTCTGCTGCCCAATCTGTGTTTCCATCCCTATTTCTGACAACAAGCAAAAGGATGCACACTTCCATTTACTCTTCTGACTCTGCAGAACCTTGAGGCTCAATAGCAGACCAATTGCTCTTTAATAGCAATACATAAAACATATTCCAAACCAAACGAGGTTATCTGCTTACATTAGCACAGCTCATAAAATCAATTAGAACCTTCCCTAGAACTACACGCACATAATCCCTTTTAATTTACAAATGAAAATAACTTCCCTAGCCTTCCTCTTATTGTGCCTCAAGGAGGCTCAAGCGATATATATATATATACACTCGTGAAAAAAAGCCAAAACCAAAACGAGAAAGACCACTTAAACACTACAGGTGAAGGTCTACCACTCTACTCAAGCTACAGCAACTCCTCAAGGTTTAGCTCCTCTCTAGAAAACTGCAACGGAGACATATTCAAACTAGGGACACGAGACAGAAGTAAACCTGTCTTCGAGCACCAGTTATCTGCCCCTTTTTCCCTAGGATTCCAACGAGCGAGGTGCTTTGAGCTTAAGGAAAGTGAGGCAGGGGCTGAACTCCTTTGAGGGAACATGAAAAAGCAAGTCCACTCGCCTACACAGCCTTTCCACTCGGAATGCTACGCTCTCGACAGCCTGAGAAACGCAACTGGGATTAAGCTTCCAGCAAAATCGCGACTCTCCAGAGTTGCACCTGCACACAGGCACCTTCCCTCCCTGCCGCTCAATTACCACTGCGCGGCCCCCACTAAGTCCGCGGGACCTAAACTAAGCTCCCCACCGCCACCCCCCCGAGTATTCCAGGTCCACCAGTCGCCACCAGCCGCCACTTCTTCCCACTCACATGCCTGAAAAGGCGGGTCCGCTGGGCCTGGTGCAATAAATATGCGGCAAGACGCTGCCTCCAGGCGGCGGTCGCACGCAGGCGCCTGGGGAGCGGAGGTATAAAGAAGGCGCTTCCGACACGCTGAAGGGGTTGGCCGGTTTTCCTCACGCGAGGGCGCGTGGTCTTGAGTGGAGGGGTGGCTTGGAGGCTTTCTCTCCGCTGACCCTTTCCCGCTCCTTACCGCTGCTGTAAGCCTCTGCTCCTCTCCTGAGTAGACGTCAGTTGAATTCGGGGAGGGGGGATTTTTTCCCTCGAGCTTTTAGTACTATAATCAAAAGCACTTCAGGACTTCGCAGATAAATTGATTGTCCACGGACGTAGGGAGGGGCGTATAAAACGGGAGTCACAAAATGGCGCGTAGGGATTTTGCCCCGGGGTCGGGAAGGCGCGCACACTTTTCCTCGCAGCATTTTCAGTTCCCCTAATCCGTCTTGCTGGGGACTGGAAGCTAGCCTTGCAATTGCATTTTACTTTTTTAAAAAGTGCAAAGACGTTAAGCCATAGCTTTCTTAGCTACTGGTTATTTAATTTTGAACTACTTTTAAAGCGCTCACGTGACAATTACCAGGCTGTTGGGTGAGAAGGCCTGATTCTGCCTTTTATAGCTGTGTTGAAGAGTTTGCTCCATGCAGAGGACATAGGACTTTGTAGATGCTGGAATAATGCCTGTAATGATGGCCAATATGTGTTTTATTTAGCTTTTGGAATTGCTTTCCTGCCTTTCTGCCTACAATGGACCTCAAGGCGGGGCAACTGTGATAGTTGATGGAAGCAAGAACAGTAACGAGTTCTCTAACACCTTTTTATCTAGAGACTTTAAGCATGAAAAATGCATGACCCTCAAAAGCAATGGCCATTGCCTTGGTGGCAAGGGAATGATATAGGCATCTGAGTGTTAGATTTAGATCCTAGAGACCCATGGTAAAATTTCCCACTAACCCACAAAACTCTATGGCTGACCATGGGACCATTAGTAACTTTCAGCCTAAAAGTGAATTATGTATTGTGTGAAGTTCTTCATTTTGTCTCCTGAATCTATTTTGTTGGATGATCTTGAGTTCCACTCCAGCAGCTGAATCAGCTAACAGAGGTCCGCCTGGCGCCAATGCTATATGCTTTTTGGTGTGAGGTCAAACCCTTTTTATTTTCCCATAATTTTAAAGTTTAAATATTTTAATCATGTTTTATTCTCAGTCGTGGATTATTATAGGTTCTGTTTGTAAGCCATCCAGAGATGTCGTAATTGTACAGGACAAAAATCCCCAAATAAACATGCATAGCACCTTGCATTTTGAGTTCTTAGTAATTGCTTTGCTGTTGTTGGCTGAGTATAAGATTTTGAAGTGCTTTATGGGTATTAAGGAGTGCAAAATAGCTCCAGTCCAGGCATTTTAACGGAAGAACATAAGGCATATACTCATTTCATCCCTTAGAACCTATTTTAATATTTCCAATAAGATAGCTTTGGCTAAAGGAGCCATTTATGTCTGAATTATTTCAAATTTGGGAATACCGTGTTTTCTATAGTCACTAGCACTTCAAAGAGCTGTGTCCACATTTTTGTTTCAAGGCTTCCTTTAGTATTTCCCTGAGTCCACCACTAGATGGTGTTGCACTGGTATGGCATGTGAAAGTTCATTCTAATGAGTCATGTAGTAATTACTCAAAATGGTAAAAAATTAAAATGAGCTTTCAAATGTACTATGCCTTAATAAAATGCAAAATCAGTCAAAATTATGTATCTATATGTAACTTATCCTTATGAGTATTTTAATGATACTTTGTATAAATCAGGGTATATCTTCGAACTATGGAACTCCTTGATGATAATTTATTAGTTCCTGTATATCATCCTTCTGGGAACTCAGGCTGCAATTCCTTAGGAGTGTTAAAATATTTTTATTTCAGCGAATATTTTACAAGATTTTACAGTGGCTAATTTTGTATTCTCACTGCTGCTTGGATCTCTAAGATCTTTAGAAATGTAGCATGATTTGAGATTAAGGGAAACTTTTTTTAAAAAAATTAATACTAGTTAGGTATAGATTCATAGATACTAACCTCAGGAAGAACAGAAAATGGCTTCACGTTATTTATTTTCAGAACCTTGAAGGGTTAAAGTTGTCAGTTCTTGTCCTTAGCTGTAGTCTAAAATAATAGCACATAAGAAAAAGTATGATATAAATACTAAGTATTCCTTTTTAAAACTTTATTATTTCGTTCTTTATTATGCCAGATAGGCCAGCATTATGCAGAGGGTAATGTGCAAGGATAATGGATTGCCTAAGGCCACTGATGAGTTCATGACTGAGTTTGAAATTTCTGTGTGTGTGTGGCTTTTTTAATTCTAAGCCATGCATTTAATAGCTATAGTTTAGTAGCTCTTTGAGGC